CTTACCTGTACTAGATGTGTCTTACATGTACTAGATGTGTCGTACCTGTACTAGATGTTTCTTACCTGTCCTAGATGTGTCTTACCTGTCCTAGATGTGTCTTACATGTACTAGAAGGGCCTTACCTGTACTAGATGTGTCGTACCTGTACTAGATGTGTCGTACCTATACTAGATGTGTCCTACCTGTCCTATATGTGTCTTACATGTTCTAGATGTGTCGTACCTGTACTAGATGTGTCGTGCCTATACTAGATGTGTCGTACCTGTACTAGATGTGTCGTACCTGTACTACATGTGTCGTACCTGTACTAGATGTGTCGTACCTGTACTAGATGTGTCGTACCTGTACTAGATGTGTCGTACCTGTACTAGATGTGTCGTACCTGTACTAGATGTGTCTTACCTATACTAGATGTGTCCTACCTGTCCTATATGTGTTTTACCTGTCCTATATGTGTTTTACCTGTACTAAATGTGTCGTACCTGTACTAGATGTGTCGTACCTGTACTAGATGTGTCGTACCTGTACTAGATGGGATGTACCTGTAATAGGTGTGTATTACCTGTACTAGATGTGTCGTACCTGTACTAGAGGTGTCGTACCTGTACTAGATGTGTCGTACCTGAACTAGATGTGTCTTACCTGAACTAGATGTGTCTTACATGTCCTAGATGTGTCATACCTGTCCAAAATGTGTCTTAACTGTCCTAAATGTGTCTTACCTGTACTAAATGTGTCTTACCTGTACTAGATGTGTCATACCAGTCCTAGATGTGTTCTAACTGTCCTAGATGTATCTTACCTGTACTAAATGTGTCTTACCTGTACTAGATGTATCTTACCTGTACTAAATGTGTCTTACCTGTACTAGATGTGTCTTACCTATACTAGATGTGTCCTAGCTGTCCTATATGTGTCTTACCTGTACTAAATGTGACGTACCTGTACTAGATGTGTCGTACCTGTACTAGATGTGATGTACCTGTACTTGGTGTGTCTTACCTGTACTAAATGTGTCTTACCTGTCCTAGATGTGTCTTACCTGTCCTAGGTGTGTCATACCTGTCCAAAATCTGTCTTAACTGTCCTAGATGCGTCTTACCTGTACTAGGTGTGTCTTACCTGTACTAGATGTGTCTTACCTATACTAGATGTGTCTTACCTGTACTAGATGTGTCTTACCTGTCCAAAATGTGTCTTAACTGTCCTAAATGTGTCTTACCTGTACTAAATGTGTCTTACCTGTACTAGATGTGTCATACCAGTCCTAGATGTGTTCTAACTGTCCTAGATGTATCTTACCTGTACTAAATGTGTCTTACCTGTACTAGATGTATCTTACTTGTACTAAATGTGTCTTACCTGTACTAGATGTGTATTACCTATACTAGATGTGTCGTGCCTGTACTAGATGTGTCGTACCTGTACTAGATGTGATGTAACTGTACTTGGTGTGTCTTACCTGTACTAAATGTGTCGTACCGGTACTAGGTGTGTCGTACCTGTACTAGATGTGACGTACCTGAACTAGATGTGTCGTACCTGTACTAGATGTGTCGTACCTGTACTAGGTGTGTCTTACCTGTCCTAGATGTGTCTTACCTGTCCTAGGTGTGTCATACCTGTCCAAAATCTGTCTTAACTGTCCTAGATGCGTCTTACCTGTACTAGGTGTGTCTTACCTGTACTAGATGTGTCTTACCTATACTAGATGTGTCTTACCTGTACTAGATGTGTCTTACCTGTATTAGATGTGTCTTACCTGTACTAGATGTGTCTTACCTGTCTTAGATGTGTCTTACCTGTACTAGATGTGTCTTTCCAATACTAGATGTGTCTTACCTGTATTAGATGTGTCTTACCTGTATTAGATGTGTCTTACCTGTCCTAGAGCTATCTCAAATGTCCCATAGTTGTCTCATCTGTCTTAAATTGTCTCATCTGTCTTAAAGTGTCTCACCTGTCTTACGTGTGTCTCCGCTGTCCTAGATGTGTCTTACCTATCCTAGATGTGTCATCTCACCTGTCCTATAGGTGTCTAACCTGTCCTATATGTGTTGTCCCACCTGTCCTAGATGTGTCTCCGCTGTCCTAGATGTGTCGTCTCACTGTCCTAGATGTGTCACCGCTGTCCTAGATGTGTCTTGCTGTCCTAGATGTGTCTCACCTGTCCTAGATGTGTCTCACCTGTCCTAGATGTGTCTCTGCTGTCCTAGATGTGTGTCACCTGTTCTTGATTTGTCTCACCTGTCCTAGATGTGTCTCTGCTGTCCTAGATGTGTGTCACCTGTTCTTGATTTGTCTCCGCTGTCCTAGATGTGTCTCCGCTGTCTTAGATGTGTCTCCTCTGTCCTAGATGTGTCTCCGATTTTATAGATGTGTCTCCTATGTCCTAGCTGTGTCTTACCTGTATTAGAAGTTTTTCACCTGTCCTAGATGTGTCGTCTCACCTGTCCTATAGGTGTCTAACTTGTCCTAGATGTTTCTCATATATTTTCGATATATCTCACGCCCTAGCTTTGTCTTTCATAGTCAAGATGGGCATTGATATCACTATGTTTCATTTGTGTCCTCGCCATGACTGACTTGTCCTATAAATGTCTACAAACGTACAGGTGACCACAGTGAACTGGTAAGAAGAAAAATACACAGTGGATTAGAGAGATCCTTACTCGGTCTGCTATGAGGAGTAAACTTGAAAACTTAAAGAGAACTGACACACTTGATAGGGGAAAACAAAGTAAGGTGGAAGACAAACATGTACACACCTGTACTCACATCTGATCGGGGCAAGAGCACAGAGCTGATCCGCGACTCTAATGCTGGCGTCAGACGAGGAAGCATGACCACGCATTCGTAGCGACATGGCACGTGATAGTGTTGGTGGATAGTTTAGGAATTTTCCACACAAACAGACTCGCACACACTCACACACACACACACACCGATAGACTCGTAAAACACATACATATGCATGCGTGTCTATGAACCTAGTGCCGAAGATAAGGGCAGTGCAATGTATTTACTTTATGGCATCTCTACACACTTGGCTAGGGAGTGGAAGTATTTCTTACACATTGTCAGCAACCTGGTTGTCATCATTATCATTCATCACCATTATCGTCGTCAGTTTCAGTCATCGTCCTCGTAATCATCATCGTCATTGTCCTGATCATCATCATTGTCATCATTATTATGGTCCTCCTCCTCCTCATCATGATCATCATAGCCATCCACCGTCAGCATCATCATCAACAGTACAACCAGGAGCACACATACAACTCTAGTCCCGCCTTGCACCCACCCCCTGCAGGCCAGTAACCGGTTCGACAGTCTGGTGGAGAAGTTCCGGCTCAACATCTCCATTGTGGAGAGCTTCGCCAATGACCCTGATGCTGCCATCAGGAAGCTCAAGGTAAGTCTGTTGACTGTCTAAAGCACTTCCACCTGTCTGTTGTTCATGTGCAACTTCTGCTAGCCATCAGGTGGAGCTGCTGTTGTTGCTATGTCTACTTACTTTCGTAAGTTGATTATTGATGTCGTTCTCTGGGGGCCATCAATGATTGATGACGTTCTGTGGGAGGCCAGCACTTATTGATGACGTACTCTGTGGGCAAACAATTATTGATGACGTTCTCTGTGGGCCAGCAATTATTGATGACGTTCTCTGGGGGCCAGCAATTATTGATGACGTTCTTTATGGGCCAGCAATTATTAATGACGTTCTCTATGGGTCAGCAATTATTGATGACGTTCTCTGTGGGTCAGCAATTATTGATGACTTTCTCTGGGGGCAGCAATTGTTGATGACGTTCTCTGTGGGCCAGCAATTACTGATGACGTTCTCTGGGGGCCAGTAATTATTGATGACATTCTCTCGGGCCAGCAATTGTTGATGACGTTCTCTGCGGGCCAGCAATTATTGATGACGTTCTCTGTGGGCCAGCAACTATTGATGACGTTCTCTGTGGGCCAGCAATTATTGATGACGTTCACTGTGGGCCAGCAATTATTGATGACGTTCTCTGGGGGACAGCAATTGTTGATGACGTTCTCTATGGCCAGCAATTGTTGATGACGTTCTCTGCGGGCCAGCAATTATTGATGACGTTCTCTGTGGGCCAGCAATTGTTGATGACGTTCTCTATGGCCAGCAATTGTTGATGATGTTCTCTGTGGGTCAGCAATTATTGATGATGTTATCTGTGCGTAAGCAATTATTGATGATGTTCTCTGTTGTCAGCAATTATTGATGACGTTCTCTGGGGGCCAGCAATTATTGATGACGTTGTCTGTGGGCCAGCAATTATTGATTTTGTTCTCTGTGGGCCAGCAATTACTGATGACGTTCTCTGGGGGCCAGCAAATATTGATGACGTTCTCTATGGCCAGCAATGGTTGATGACGTTCTCTGCGGGCCAGCAATTATTGATGACGTTCTCTGTGGGCCAGCAATTATTGATGATGTTCTCTGGGGGCCAGCAATTGTTGATGACGTTCTCTGTTGACAAGCAATTATTGATGATGTTCTCTGTTGCCAGCAATTGTTGATGACGTTCTCTGGAGGCCAGCAATTGTTGATGACGTTCTCTGTGGGCCAGCAATTACTGATGACGTTCTCTGGGGGCCAGCAATTATTGATGATGTTCTCTGGGGGCCATTTCTCTAGGGGCCAGAAATTAAAATGATGTTCTCTGGAGGCCATTTCTCTGGGGGCCAGGAGTTATTGATGAGGTTTTCTGGGCGGGGGTGGGAGGGAGGAGGGCGGGGGACGGAATTAATTATATTCTCTGGGAACCAGGAATTATTGATGACGTTCTCGGGTTGTGTATGTGCGTGTTGCATGTGTCTGTAATGTGTGTGATATATTTTTTATTGTTTGCGATGTGTGTGTGTGTTTTTTTTTTGGATGTGTCTCTGTCTCTCTTTATCTCATTCTCTCGCGTGATTGTGTATGTATCGTGAGTAAGATGTATGTGTCTCCTGTCCCCCATCAGATGCAAGATGTGAGGATCATAGTGGGCAACTTCGACCAGGTGATGGCAAGACGTGTCTTCTGTAGCGTGAGTACCTTCTCCTCGTCCCTTTCTTGTTGTTGTTGCTGCATCGTTCCTTAAATGCGTAGATATAGATTATGGTTTGTATCTGTTATTCCGTTGCGCGTCTGTTATTAGTTATGCTGTATCTGTTGTTTTGTTGCGGGTCTGTTATTGTTAGTGTTGCATCTGTTATTTTGTTACATGTCTGTTATTGTTAGTGTTGTTTCTGTTATTCTGTTGCATGTCTGTTATTGTTAGTGTTGCATCTATTATTTTGTTGCGTGCCTGTTACTGTTAGTGTTGTGTCTGTTATTCTGTTGCGTGTCTGTTATTAGTAGTGTTGTATCTGTTATTCTGTTGGGTGTCTGTTATTGGTTACGCTGTATATTTTGTTTTGTTGCAGGTCTGTTATTGTTAGTGTTGTTTCTGTTTTTGTTTGTTGCGTGTCTGTTACTGCTAGTGTTGCATCTGTTATTTTGTTACATGTCTGTTATTGCTAGTGTTGTTTCTGTTTTTGTTTGTTGCGTGTCTGTTATTGCTAGTGTTGCATCTGTTATTTTGTTGTGTGTCTGTTATTGTTAGTGTTGTATCTGTTATTTTGTTGCCTGTCTGTTATTACTAGTGTTGCATCTGTTGTTTTGTTGCATGTCTGTTATTGTTAGTGTTGTTTCTATATTTGTTTGTTGCGTGTCTATTATTGGTAGTGCTGTATCTGTTGTTTTGCTGCGGGTCTGTTATTGTTAGTGTTGCATCTGTTATTTTGTTGCATGTCTGTTATTGTTAGTGTTGTTTCTGTTTTTCTTTGTTGCGTGTCTGTTATTGTTAGTGCTGTATCTGTTATTTTGTTGCCTGTCTGTTATTGCTAGTGTTGCATCTGTTATTTTGTTGCGTGACTGTTATTGCTAGTGTTGCATCTGTTATTTTGTTGCGTGTCTGTTATTGCTAGTGCTACATCTGTTATTTTGTTGCTTGTCTGTTATTGGCAGTGCTGTATCTGTTATTTTGTTGCGTGTCTGTTATTGGTCGTGTTGTATCTGTTATTTTGCTTTGCGTCTGTTTTTGGTAGTGTTGTATCTGATGCCAGACAATACTCTGGATACAGTAAATTCATTAAAATCTCTAGCCAATGATTCAGGTGCTGTCCCGGCAATATACCGGTGCTGATCATTGCCTAATCCAGTCAGCACTGGTCAGACGATCTAGTTAGTATAGGACAGGTTGCATTTACTTCAAAGAGAATTTCCCAGCAAGCATTTTGGACTGGGCCAGTGAAGAGCCGAGGTCACTATGGACAAGAACTGGACGAGCCTGTGAGCACCAGCTCAGCAGGCGAGCCAGACAATCGCTGCGGTCAGAAGCTTCCTCAGACTCACTCATAGTCCAGTAAACTTCACCAATCTGTTGAACTCTGTTGGTAGGTAGTCTGAGAACAAGAGTTCCTGCACCTTCGCAAGGTTTTGTACGTCATAGTAGTTGTAATGGTAGTAGTAGTAGTAGCAACAGCAGCAGCAGCAGCAGCAGCAGCAGCAGCAGCAGTAGTAGTAGTAGTAGTAGTAGTAGTAGTAGTAGTAGTAGTAGTAGTAGTAGTAGAAATAGTAGTAGTACTAGTAATAGTTGTAGTAGTTGTTGTATTTGTAGATCTAGTAGTAGTAGTAGTAGTAGTACAAATAGTATTAGTAGTAGTAGAAGTAGTAGTAGTAGTTATACTAATAAAAATAATAATAGAAATAAAAAATAGTCGTCGTCATTATCATCATTATCGTCACTATCATCATCATCATCATCATCATCATCATCATCATCATCATTATCTTCTTTTTCTTCTTCTCCTCCTACCTCCTTTTCCTACAAGACGTATTTATGATATCCTCACCCCTATCTCCACCATTATCATCCGCTGCTTACAGCCAGGCTTTTATCATTGAAGACAGGCCCGGAAGAACTCACTGTACGGCCCCAAGCACCAATGGATCATCCTGGGCACCTACGACGACGATTGGTGGACCATCGACGACCCCATGGTCACGTGCTCCACCTGGGAACTCAATGACACCATTCATGGTTACCTAGCAACAGACGCCCTGCCGCTCAGCACAAGTGATGACGTCACAGAGTCCGGTCTGGTAAGTCAGGCAGGGTACTGACTACAGCTGTTGACTGAAGTCAAGGACGGGTGCTGACTACAGCAGTTGACTGAAGTCATGGACGGGTACTGACTACAGCAGTTGACTGAAGTCAAGGACAGGTACTGACTACCCCCGTTGACTGAAGTTCTCCCAATTACCTGAGCTCTTTTGTCTACAACTTTGCAGATCATCTATGTTGTTTTCTCCTTGTTGCTACATCTCAAATCTTACCCAGGGTATTCCATATAAAAACGCTGACCTCCGCCCAATCAACCAATCTCTCCTGTTTGCGTGTCTCCTGCCTAGATTTGTTTATTCAACAAATAGTCGGCACCCCTCCAGCAGTATTTATACTGGAGTCTCGCGAAGGGGACATAACTAACTAAACGTTATTTCATGAAAGCATTGGTTCCGTATGGACGAGATAGGATAACAGTTAATGGCTGACAGGGAAACAGTCGGTCAATATTTCTCTAGCTAACATAGATCAGGAAATCACAGTTTGATTGTCGGAAACATCTAGCCCTATTTGTAGTCTGTGCCAGGGCAGTGTCCGGTGGTCTTAGAGACTGCATCAGGGTATTGGCAATGAGTAAATATGTTTGTGAAGTTTGTGAATCATTTATGTGGTTGTCCCGACCTCTGTGATTGTCCTGATTTATGGAATTGTCCTGACCTCTGTGATTGTCCTGACCTCTGTGATTGTCTTGACCTCTGTGACTGTCCTGACCTCTGTGATTTTGCCCTGACCTCTGTGATTGTGCTGACCTATGTGACTGTCCCCAACTCTGTGATTGCCCTCATTTCTGTGACTGTCCTGACCTCTGTGATTGCCCTGCCCTCTGTGATTGTCTTTATCTCCGTAAGTATTGTGACCTCTGTGATTGACCTGACGTCTGTGATTGTCCCTCAACTCTGTGATTGTCGTCACCGCCATGATTTTCCTGCCCTATGTGATTGTCTTGACCTCTGTGAATGTCCTGACCTCTGCCCTACCTCCACAGACAGCCAGCGAGTACCTGCACGTCTACAACAAGACCCGGGGGTCAGAGTTCAGCAAGTACCATGGTTACGCCTATGACGGCGTCTGGGTGGTGGCCAAAGCTTTGGACCGTCTCCTGGAGGCAGCCAGCCTGACCCCTGACCTCTTGCGTGGACCTGAGGTCGGCAGAGTGCTCAACGAGACCAACTTTGTTGGAGTTACGGTACTTTGGGTAGTGTTGAATCCTTGTTTGTTGTATCTTGTTCATCGTCAGAGGGCAACAGTTCACACAAAGGTAACAGATGGTCTAGCCCTAGAATGTCACGGTATGATGCGCTACTATAACACTTTCACAGAGTTGAATCTGGTATCTGGGATGTGTTCCCCTTGAACTGACATCCGACATGTTGCACTTTGTGTCACCATGGTGTCTAAGCTTCAGTTTGCAGGCATGGAATGGAATACAGAAACGCAAAATCTATTCCTGTCCTTTACTGTTCGCCATCTTCTAGCCTGGACTGAAGAGTGACCCAGTCACTTGACCTCTGACTGTAGAGTAACCCACGCACTTTACGTCTGACTGAGAGTAACCCGAGCACTTGAGCTTTATTTTAACATATGTGATCTCTGCTGCAGATACATCTGGCATACTGTTAAGTGTGTGTGGGACACTCCAGCTAGAGGCACATTAGTTAACTACTGCTGTTTAATTCTCCTGCTGCAGGTGGAGCATAGACACACAGCTCACGATGGCTCTCTGTAGACTAGTTCATTGTCTGTTCGGACAATTCTCCTGCTGCCAGTGGGGCATAGACACACAGTTAGCTCACGATGGCTCTCTGTAGACTAGTTCATTGTCTGTTGGGCTTGGGTTCTGCAACGTCTTGTAAAAGATATGCAATTAACTAGCTACAACACTAGAACAGCCACCATGGTGAAGTGGCTAGACACCCGCCTGCAGATCAAAAGGTCGTAGGTTCAAGTCTACATGGTGCCATATTTTTTTAATGCACAACCTTGGTTCCTAGATCGACTAAGGCAAAGTCATGGGATGCAAAGGTGGCTAACGTGATGCTGACCACATCACTCTTTGAGTGCTGATTGGCAAACAAAGTATAGTTCTAGCACTATATGTCCAATACGCCTAAAGGCATGGAAAACTTAGACACCTTGTCTACAACTTAGTTCAGGCTCTTGTCTGGTGTGTTTTTGTTCTTGCTCTTACCCCAGTCTTCTCTAACATGGAGAGTTGAGGACATTCCTGATGGATGCATGTTTGTTTATGTCTGTGACCATGGAAACATTGTCATATAACCTGCTGCACTGTTGAGGGAACTTGTGGGTGTAAGGAGGTTCTCACAGGTAATGATTAGCACTCATGTAATCTGATGACTTGTTAGTTGGGTTAAATAATGATTTGTTGGTAGCTGAATTGCGAACATTAGTAGAAAGAGCAATGGAGAAGCAGAAAGAGATATATTTGAGCTTCATAAATTAGACCAATAAAATGAAACATGATGACATGATCAAACTGTTAGATAATTTTAACATTGGCAGAAAAGATCTCAGAATAATACACAATATTTGCTGGAAGCAGCCAATTAAATTAGGAAATAAAATAGGCAGTTATGGACAGATAAGGCAAAGAGTGAGACAGGGATGTGTTTTGTCACCGGATCTGTTCTCTCTCTGTAGTGAAATAATAATAATGAGGAAGCTCAAGGATAGACCAGGAGTACCAGCTGGAGGTTATAATATAAACAGTCTTCTTTATGCTGATGATACAGCATTAATAGCTGAAAATGCAGAAAACCTGCAACAACTATAAGACATTGTTCTACTAGAGAGTGCAAAAAGGGACTTGAATATCAAGAAAACAGAAACAATAGTTATATCAAAGAAGACGTTAACTCCAAAATGTGACAAAGCAATGGAAAGGAAAATGCTTAACCAAGTCAATAAATTCAAGTATTTGGGGACAATCATAACATAAGATGGATGATGTGTGACAGAAATTAGGATTATAATTGACAAGGCAAAGACATCATTTTAGAAGATGAAAAGTATCTTATGTGATAAATCACTCTCATTAAACATCAGAAGATGAGTACTGAAATGTTACATTGAGTTTGTTCTTTAATCTTGTAGTGAATCTTGGAATGTGAGCAAACAAATTAAGAAGAATTTGGAGGCAGCTGAGATGTGGTTCTTGAGAAGAATGTTGTGAATGCCTAGGATAATGTCTTGGACTGCCAGAATAACTAACAATGTTTGCCTGGAAATGGCTAACGAAAGTAGAACATTTGATACAACAATGAGAAGGAGACAAACAAAGTTTTTTAATCATGTGATGAAAAAAGGAGCACTGGAAAAATATCATAATGACTGGAAAGTTCATTAGTAGAAGAGGAATGATGGTGGATGGCTTAAGACAGTGGCATGGAGGTATATCATCAGTCGAATTGATCCAGAACACCAAAGATCAAGATCTCTAGAGATGCATAAACACAGATGCCAACTTTCAAGGCACTTGATGATGATGTTAGCTAGGGTAAATAATGATTTGTTGTCAACTAGGGTAAATAATAATTTGATGTCAACTGGGGTAAATAAAAATGTGTTGTCAACTGGGGTAAATAATAATGTGTTGTGAACTGGGGTAAATAATAATGTGTTGTCTACTAGGGTAAATAATAATGTGATGTCAACTGGGGTAAATAATAATGTGTTGTCAACTGGGGTAAATAATGATGTGTTGTGTACTGGGGTAAATAATAATGTGATGTCAACTGGGATAAATATTGATGTGTTGTCAACTGGGGTAAATAATGATGTGTTGTGTACTGGGGTAAATAATAATGTGATGTCAACTGGGGTAAATATTGATGTGTTGTCAACTGGGGTAAATAATGATGTGTTGTCAACTGGGGTATATAGTAATGTGTTATCTACTGGGGTAAATAATGAATTTGTTGTCAACTGGGGTAAAAAATGATGTGATGGCAGCTGGGGTAAATAATGCCTGGATATTTCTTGTTTTTACCCTTTCTGTCTATCAAGGGTAGGGTGCAGTTTCAAAATGGAGACCGCCTTGGCAGCATCACCATCTCACAGATGCAGTGTAAGTAGCTGTAGAAATGTCCTGTCTCTAGAGGGCAGCGTGAGTACCTGTAGGAATGTCCTGTCTCTAGGGGCAGCTTGAGTACCTGTACAAATGTCCTGTCTCTAGGGATCAGCTTGAGTACCTGTAGGAATGTCCTGTCTCTAGGGGGGCAGCTTGAGTACCTGTAGGAGTGTCCTGTCTCTAGGGGGCCGCTTGAGTATCTGTAGGAGTGTCTTGTCTCTAGAGGGCAGCTTGAGTACCTGTAGGAATGTCCTGTCTCTAGGGGCAGCTTGAGTACCTGTACAAATGTCCTGTCTCTAGGGGGCAGCTTGAGTACCTGTAGGAATGTCCTGTCTCTAGGGGGGCAGCTTGAGTACCTGTAGGAGTGTCCTGTCTCTAGAGGGCCGCTTGAGTATCTGTAGGAGTGTCTTGTCTCTAGAGGGCAGCTTGAGTACCTGTATAAATGTCCTGTCTCTGGGGGGACGCTTGAGTACCTGTAGGAATGTCCTGTCTCTAGGGGGCAGCTTGAGTACCTGTAGGAATGTCCTGTCTCTAGGGGGCAGCTTGAGTACCTGTAGGAGTGTCTTGTCTCTAGAGGGCAGCTTGAGTACCTGTAGGGATGTCCTGTCTCTAGGGGGCAGCTTAAGTACCTGTACACAGTGTCCTGTCTCTAGGGGGCAGCTTGAGTACCTGTAGGAATGTCCTGTCTAGAGGTCAGCTTGAGTACCTGTAGGAGTGTAGGAGTGTCCAGTCTCTAGGGGGCAGCTTAAGTACCTGTAGGAAAGTCATGTCCAGAGGAAAGCTTTAGTGTTGAGAGAAATGTCTAGTCACTAGAGGTCAGCATAACAACAGATAAGAATGTCCTGTCACTAGAGGTCAGCCTGACTACAGATAGGAATGTCCTGCTAACAATAGTCAGCTGGTGTCAAGAATTCCTGCAATCAAAGATAAAAGCTTCATTTAAATATTCATCCACTAGAGATGAAAGTAGAGAATGAAATCTCCATTCATTAGAAATGAAAGTAGAAAATGAAATATCTATTTGATAGAGATGAAAGTAGAGAATAAAATATCCATTCACTAGAGATGAAAGTAGAGAGTGAAATATCCATTCACTAGAGATGAAAGCAGAAACTCGCATGTGCTATCACTGAGGGTGAGTGTCAGTAGGAGATAGTGATGACCTGGAATTTAAAAAAAATAAAAAAGTTTTTTTTATGTGTCAGTGCAAACACTGTGTCTGTCTGAGTAAGTCAGTGCAGACATTGGGTCTGTCTGTGTCTGTCTGAGTGAGTCACCGCTGACATGGATGTGACTGTGTGAGTGTGCATGTGTGTGTGTGTGTGTCTGTGTGAGTGTGTGTGTGTGCAGCCATTGTGTCTGTCTATGTCTGTCTAAATGAGTCAGTGCTGACATTGATGTGTCTGAGTGAGTGGGTCACCGCTCAAATGGATATGTCTGTGTGAGTGTGTCACTGCAGACATTGTATCTGCCTATATGTCTGTCTTAATGAGTCAGTGCTGACATGGATGTGTCTGTGTGAGTGAGTCAGCGATTACAGTGTTAGGTCTACATGAGTCAGTCATGAGTTCTGTGTGCCTCTGTGAGTTGTCTCCTATTTCCATGAGACTTTTCATGCACAGAATAAGAATGTCAGACTTTGTATTTCTGTCTTTCTCCACTCCCAGATGGAAGAATGGTCAAGGTGGGGGAATATCACGCGCTGACCCACACACTGGACCTGGGAAATGGTAGCCTGATCACCTGGAGAGGTAGGTCCTTGCTCAGCAGGTGCTTAGTTTCATCAGTCACAACACAAACACACAGAATCACTTACACACATACAAAAGTATACTATACTCATGCATATACGCAGGGATTTTCTGTGGCGGTACGCAGGGATTTTGTGTGGCAGTACACAGAACCAGCCTCATTTTAAGACAGCATTTGTGTGTGTGTGTTTGAAAATCTGCAACAAAAGTTAATCTGTTTTTATGCTCAATAGACTGTACACAAGTGTGAAACATGAGGAAATAAGTGAACTACTAGAACAGCCAAACAACGATGGAGAACATCATAATGAAGATCACAATTTTGTAGAAAACATCAACAATCGAACAATGATTGAGCGACATTTCGATGCCTAAGGAACAGTGTCAGGCCAGGATAGGCATTGCATCTTTTTGGTTTTCAATATAAAATAAGCATGTAATAAGAGTGAGAGTCATGGTAGCCCAGTGAGAATCTTGATGATTGTACCAAAGCACAGAAGGAAATGTTCTGGATAGTAAAAGCGGCAATATCATCCATCATTTTATGGTCACTTTATGAAAAATGAAAAATTGTGGCATGAAAAAACTTGACAGATTTATAAAATGAGAGATAGAAGGAGAGAACAAGAAGTGATTCCTGACAGCCTTTTGTGATAGCATGGAGGGGTGTCAGCACAGCCAACGGATACATGGTGCAGGAGGCTGTCAGATGTGGAGACACATGATGCTCCATGCCAGTAAGCATAACACTTGTTGATGATGATGTTCAAGTGGTGGAATGCTGGCCACTCTGTTTGCTAATGTGAGGGAAAATACATTTTCTGTCTAGAATATTTAGGTGTGCGAGGTAAAGAGCAGGATGATAGATTAATGCTACCACTCCTCTAGGTAATAAGAGGCAATGCCCATCCTGGTCTGACACAGTTCTTTAGGCATCGAAATGTCACTCAATCATTGTTCTGTTTTTGATGTTTTCTACAAAATTGTGTTCTTCATTATGATGTTCTCCATTGGTGTTTGGCTGTTCTAGTAGTTCACTTATTACATGATAAAGCAGAAGACTCTATGGGATCAAATGGACATTGCAAAACAATGGATAGGGAATCCATACATGGGTGTAGAGGGTGGAATGTGTAGAGATTCTGGAAGATATTCAACATTGAAGGAAAAACAGAGGAGGATCTTTTAATGAGTCAGCAGCTGGGACTGTTAGAATGTCAGCTCTTTGTTGGTTACTGAAGATGGGGACGGAGCATGTGTGGGAATGTCCTGAGTTCAGTGATATTAGTTAATTCATTCATTCATTCTTTAAAAATGTCATGTTGTTTGGTTTCTCTCATGGGTGGCTGTTTATAGGATTAAGGATCAAATACCGGATACTATGCAGGGATGATATGTGTTTTAATGTAGAAATATAATGCCCCTCATCCACTTGATCTTAGTCATTGACACCCTGATGTTTGACAGATGGAAAGCCCCCCATGGACAGAAGTGTGAAGATAGAAGAGCTGCGTCATGTTAGTTTCCCAGTGTACATTGCCTTTGTTGTCCTGGCAGCTATGGGAATTACTATGGCTGTGCTATTCTTAGCTGTCAACATCCGGTATCGACGTCACAGGTAAGTTCCACTTGCAAACTGTAAATATCACATGATTAAACACATTCAAAATGAAAATTATTACAAGTTGTGTATACTCATCTCTGTTATATGACATAGAGTCTGGGACAATGAATAAACATTTAGAAAGTTTAACTGAATTTCTGGAAACGTGGAAATAACTTTTTTTCTGCTTTTTTTTAAAAAGCATCCATTGGCTGTAAACTCTGGCAAACAGTTGTGGTTGTTCATCCACTCCTAGATTTTGGTCTTGATTCAAGACTTTGGTTTTCATGCACATCCATTATACAGATTTAGCTTATCTGTATGCAGATTGTTGGTTCTTCAGTTAAAGGCACTCCAACATTGAAAGACACACCCCACGTTAGTTGCCTCCTGTGATATGCTTGTTTGGGGAGAGGGCAGTGGGTCTATTGTCTATTCTCCAAAGTGGAACCCTGGAACCCTGTAACCCATACAACAGCATGTTGATATACTGAAGAATAGGTCATAGGTCATATTTCGTGGAAACAAAAACAGACCTGTTTAAGTTTCCCGGCCCATCTACACACTTTCTCAGTCTGATCTAGGTCAGAGGGGTGTCACAATGTACTTTCTTTGAAAAGAGTCTCAGGCTCAGGCTGTTGGTAGGGGGGTTTGGGTTAGGGCCAGTTCTACATATTCTGGGGTCATTGAAAGCTATGTCATTGTGTAGTATAGAATATGCGATGTCTGTGCTGATGTAACTAAAGGTAAGACACTGTGACACATCTCTGACGTAGAAGAGTCCGAGAAAGTATGAATAAAAGGTCAGACAGTGTGTAGATGAGTCACGAAACGTGAACTGGACCAAAAAAAAACAATCCAAGACTTGTTACAAATGCAAACTGGACAAGTGAAACATTTCGGCCACATTAGAAGACATAACACACTTATAAAAATATACTGGAAAAATAAAAGCCGTTAGCAAAAGATAGACTGCGGTACAAGTGGAACAGTAATGATAACTAGATATGTGGGAAAGTAATATCAACTAGATGACAAGTGAGACAATAATGTCAACCAGATGACAAGTGGGACTGTAGTGTCAACTATTTGACAAGAGGGGCAGTAATGTCAACTAGATAACAAGTGGGACAGTAATGACAACTAGATGACAAGTAGGACAGTAATGAAAACTTGATAACAAGTTGGACAGTAACGACAACTAGATGACAAGTGGGACAGTAATGACAACTAGATGACAAGTAGGACAGTAATGACAATGATAACAAGTGGGACAGTAATGACAACTAGATGACAAGTAGGACAATAATTTCAACTAGATAACAAGTGGGACAGTAATGTCAACCAGTTGACAAGTGGGACAGTAATGACAACTAGATGACAAGTAGGACAGTAATGTCAACTAGGTGACAAGTGGGACAGTAATGACAACTAGATGACAAGTGGGACAGTAATGACAACTAGTGGATGAACAGAAATCTGCGACAGCGCACAACCAGGATAAGACAGACAGTATTAGATATCTATCGCAGCAAACCTTTATTGTGGAGAAGACACCTGATTGATTATATCAATTAATTACTATTTTATATTGCTCCACAAGCTACAAGGAATTATTTGAAACTTGACTGCCTGGGTGGTTGCTAGGAAACGGTGTTGTTTGGACATAAATAATAAAGAGAATGGAATGATCAAAGCAGCCAGCAACTCACATCAACAGAGTCGAGTTGGGAAATAAAACTTTGAGTGATCAAGTGTGATAAAACTTTGAGTGCTCAAGTGTGACATTCTACTGCATTATTTCTTCAAGGATTAACTGCTTTAGATATAGAATTCAAAAACACACACAGAGAGAGAGAGAGAGAGAGAGAGAGAGAGAGAGAGAGAGAGAAAGTGAGAGAGAGAGAGAGAGTGTGTGCGTACGTGTGTGAGTGCGTGCATGAGTGTGCCTGCCAGTGTGCCTGCGTCCAAGAGAGAGAGAGAGAGAGAAAGAGAGAGAGAGAGAGAGAGAGAGAGAGAGAGAGAGAGAGAGAGAGAGAGAGAGAGAGAGAGAGAGAGAGAGAGAGAGTTATAGTGATGAGGATAATAATTATGTTGGCAAGAATGGTTTTCAGGAAAAGAATGGTTTTTCAGAGACTGAAAAGTACCGTTCCATAGCTTTCTTTCTGTCCTGATGCTATGAGGCTCTCCAGGAGTAGAAAACAGAAGAAGAAAAGTTTTGATGGGTAGCAGTATGTCTGTGGCCTGCTCTTCATTTTGGAAGTCAGTATTAGACAAGGAGTAAATGATGAAGGCAACATACTTTTTTTCTTAGTCAAGGTCAAGCTGTAAATACCATATATACTATTGTTATCATGATGTTGCAAACTACTGCATGTAAAATTTGCCTAGAAAAACCACAGCACCCAAATAAAATGCTTTGGTTGGTTCTGCAAGGTCCTGTAAAGGATAGGTATTTAAATAACTTTTTTTTTAAAGTATCCAGAAGCCATGAGTTCTTAACCCTTTGGCTCGGTACTATGAATATAGCAACCCTTCGGTCTCGATTCCATAAAAGTGAGAGAAATGTGGTTTTTCTGCCTACCCTGGGCGTGAACCCGGACCACAAGGAGTTCGTCACCAAACCCCCGTGCAGTCCGGTTTAGCCAACTGCGCTAGCGAGCCGGGCTAACTAACTAACTAACTAACTAACTAACTATCTATCATGATGATGCTGATGCCAATGGATGATGAAAAGATTAAAAGAAAAACTGTAATACTTCCTCTGTAAGAGACAAACTGACAGTTGGAACATCTCTCACTGGCTAGGTACATCAAGATGTCGAGTCCAAACATGAACAACCTCATCATCGTGGGCTGTATTCTCTGCTACATGTCCATCTTCTTGTTGGGGGCTGACCCAGACCACACTGACCGCCTGCTCTTCAGCTACTGGTGCACTGTAAGTTCCTTTACTGGTGCACTGTGAATTTGTTTACTAATGCAATGAAAATTCAGCCATTGCTGCACTCTGTAAATTCAGTTTCTGGTGCACTCTGTAAGTTTACTTAGTGAGGCAATATAAGTTAAGTTACTGGCGCACTGTAAATTCATTTACTGGTGCTCTACAAATTCAGCCATTGGTGCACTATGTAAATTCAATTATTGGTGAAGTCTGTAAGTTCATTTATTAGTAAACTATAAGTTCAAATATTGATGCAGTCTGTAAGTACAGTTAGGGATGCACTGCAAGTACATGTGTTCATTGGTGCATGATAAGTCCCCATTTTGAACTATACTTTCTTTCTTTCTTTCTTTCTTTCTTTCTTTCTTTCTTTCTTTCTTTCTTTCTTTCTTTCTTTCTTTCTTTCTTTCTTTCTTTCTTTCTTTCTTTCTTTCTTTCTTTCTTTCTTTCTTTCTTTCTTTCTTTCTTTCTTTCTTTCTTTCTTTCTTTCTTTCTTTCTTTCTTTCTTTCTTTCTTTCTTTCTTTCTTTCTTTCTTTCTTTCTTTCTTTTTCTTTCTTTCTTCTTTTCTTTCTTTCTTTCTTTCTTTCTTTCTTTCTTTCTTTCTTTCTTTCTTTCTTTCTTTCTTTCTTTCTGTTTTGTGTCATACTGTCTATGGATATATCTTTGTTTTTTTCAATCTAGGGTACCTTCTCTAATTATTTGATAGTGTCTCTTCTTCTGTGCAGTTTTTTGTTGCTTGTCTCGTTCTGTTAGATTGTCTTTATTTCCTCTCATTGTGGGTGACCCTTGATCTATATTTCATGTAACCTTTTCCTTTCATCTCACTGCGCATGTATGTCCTTCCATCTCTCTGTGCATGTATGTCCTTTCATCTCTCTGTGCATGTGTGTCCTTTCATCTCACTGTGCATGTATGTCCTTCCATCTCTCTGTGCATGTATGTCCTTTCATATCTCTGTGCATGTATGTCCTTCCATCTCTCTGTGCATGTATGTCCTTTCATCTCTCTGTGCATGTATGTCCTTTCATCTCTCTGTGCATGTATGTCCTTCCATCTCTCTGTGTATGTATGTCCTTCCATCTCTCTGTGCATGTATGTCCTTCCATCTCTCTCTCTGTGCATGTATGTCCTGTCCTCTCTCTGTGCACCTATTTCCTTTCTTCTCTCTTTGCATGTATGTCCTTCTATCTCTCTGTGCACGTATATCCTTACATCTCTCTCTGTGCATGTATATCCTTACATCTCTTTCTCTCTGTACATGGATGTCCTTACATATCTCTCTCTGTGCATGTATGTCCTTCTATCTCTCTGTGCATGTATGTCCTTTTATCTCTCTGTCCATGTATGTCATTCTATCTCTCTGTGCATGTATGTCCTTCTATCTCTCTGTGCATGTATGTCCTTCTATCTCTCTGTGCATGTGTGTCCTTCTATCTCTCTGTGCATGTATGTCCTTCTATCTCTCTCTGTGCACGTATATCCTTACATCTCTCTCTGTGCAAGTATATCCTTACATCTCTCTCTGTGCACGTATATACTTACATCTCTTTCTCTCTGTACATGTATGTCCTTACATATCTCTCTCTGTGCATGTATGTCCTTCTATCTCTCTGTGCATGTATGTCCTTTTATCTCTCTGTGCATGTATGTCCTTCTATCTCTCTGTGCATGTATGTCCTTCTATCTCTCTGTGCATGTATGTCCTTCTATCTCTCTCTCTGTGCATGTATGTCCTTACATCTCTCTCTCTGTGCATGTATGTCCTTCTATCTCTCTGTGCATGTATGTCCTTCTGTCTCTCTGTGCATGTGTGTCCTCCTATCTCTCTGTGAATGTATATCCTTCCATCTCTCTCTGTGTGCATTTATGTCCTTCTATCTCTCTGTGCATGTATGTCCTTCCATCTCTCTGTGCATGTATGTCCTTCTATCTCTCTGTGCATGTATATCCTTTCTTCTCTCTGTGCATGTATGTCCTTCCACCTCTCTGTGCATGTATATCCTTTCATCTCTCTCTCTCTCTCTCTCTCTCTGTGCATGTATGTCCTTCTATCTCTCTGTGCATGTTTGTCCTTCTATCTCTCTCTCTGTGCATGTATGTCCTTTCCTCTTTCTGTACATGTATATCCTTTCATCTCTCTGTGCATGTATGTCCTTCTATCTCTCTGTGCATGTATATCCTTCCATCTCTCTCTGTGTGCATTTATGTCCTTCTATCTCTCTGTGCATGTATGTCCTTCCATCTCTCTGTGCATGTATGTCCTTCTATCTCTCTGTGCATGTATATCCTTTCTTCTCTCTGTGCATGTATGTCCTTCCACCTCTCTGTGCATGTATATCCTTTCATCTCTCTCTCTCTCTCTCTCTCTCTGTGCATGTATGTCCTTCTATCTCTCTGTGCATGTTTGTCCTTCTATCTCTCTCTCTGTGCATGTATGTCCTTTCCTCTTTCTGTACATGTATATCCGTTCATCTCTCTGTGCATGTATGTCCTTCTATCTCTCTCTCTGTGCATGAATGTCCTTCAATCGCTCTGTGCATGTATGTCCTTCTATCTCTTTCTCTGAGAGACTTTGATGCGACTTCCGATTAAAATGGACGCTAGACAGCGGCGCCGTTCGGAACAGCGGCAAATTTTTTGCTTCTGCCGGACGGTGGCCGATGCATTTTTGCTCCATTTGTAGACTGGATATAGTTTCGTCGCCCAGCTTCTGAGTTGAATGCATGGCGTGACCCTGTGAGCTGCGGATTGCATTTTGGTATGTTTTTTTTTTCGACTGTGACCAACGTGGTGGTGTGAATTGTAGATTCAGAAAATGGCGCGATGCCTGTCGTTCAATGCTTGCGGGACCCGTATTAAAATTGATCACGCGGACAACTGCTGATCTGTTGACGACAAGTTCTGCTATCATCAATGATGAACTGCATTTCTAATGTTGGACTGTTTGTGTTAGCACTTCGGATGGCTACCATATGCTTTAATGCGAGTGTATGCTAGATATGCTGAGACAGCAGTCTGTCAATCTTTCCACAAGGGACTGTGATAGACATTCTGAGTGTTTTTCGCTGGCACAGGAGCGGAGCAAAGATGGGGCAACCCGTTTGCTATGAAGCTGAAACTAAGACTACCAGACTACCATCTCTTTCTCTGTGCATGTATGTCCTTACATCTCTCTGTACATGAATGTTCTTCAATCGCTCTGTGCATGTATGTCCTTCTATCTCTTTTCTGTGCATGTATGTCCTTACATCTCTCTGTGCATGTATGTCCTTACATCTCTCTGTGCATGTATGTCCTTCTATCTCTCTATCTGTGCATGTATGTCCTTCTATCTCTCTCTCTGTGCATGTATGTCCTTCTATCTCTCTCTCTGTGCATGTATGTCCTTCTATCTCTCTCTCTGTGCATGTATGTCCGTCTATCTCTCTCGCTGTGCATGTATGTCATTTCATCTCTCTGTACATGTATGTCCTTTCATCTCTCTGTGCATGTATGTCCTTTCATCTCTCTGTGCATGTATGTCCTTTCATCTCTCTGTGCATGTATGTCCTTCCATCTCTCTGTGCACGTATGTCCTTCCATCTCTCTGTGCATGTGTGTCCTTCCATCTCTCTGTGCATGTATGTCCTTTCCCCTCTATGTACATGTATATCCTTTCATCTCTCTGTGCACGTATGTCCTTCTATCTCTCTCTCTGTGCATGTATGTCCTTCAATCTCTCTGTGCATGTATGTCTTTCTATCTCTCTCACTGTGCATGTATGTCCTTACATCTCTCTGTGCATGTATGTCCTTCTATCTCTCTCTCTGTGCATGTATGTCCTTCTATCTCTCTCTCTGTGCATGTATGTCCTTCTATCTCTCTCTCTGTGCATGTATGTCCTTTCATCTCTTTGTGCATGTATGTCCTTTCATCTCTCTGTGCATGTATGTCCTTTCATCTCTCTGTGCATGTATGTCCTTCCATCTCTCTGTGCATGTATGTCCTTCTATCTCTCTATACATGTATGTCCTTCCATCTCTCTCTGTGCATGTATATCCTTCCACCTCTCTGTGCATGTATGTCCTTCTATCTCTTTCTCTGTGCATGTATATCCTTCCACCTCTCTGTGCATGTATGTCCTTTAATCTCTCTTTTCATGTATTTCCTTTCATATCTCTCTGAATGTATGTCCCTCCATCTCTCTGTGCATGTATTTCCTTCCATATATCTGTGCAAGTATGTCCTATTTCTCTGTCTACGTCTGGGGAGAGATATGTTGGGCAGAGCCCTAGGGCAGGCAGACGTGGAGGATCAGAGGTAGAACAAAAATCTCTGATGACTGCTTTTACTTCCATCATTACACATTGGCTGCTGTTATACATTTCTCTTCTTTACAGTGTTCACTGAAATGTTAACTCCTGTAGAAAATTCTAGTTGTTCACCCACTTCTGGACTGTAGTCTTGTTCACCTACTTCTGGACTGTAGTCTTGTTCACCTACTTCTGGACTGTAATCTTGTTCACCTACTTCTGGACTGTAATCTTGTTCACCCACTTCTGGACTGTAGTCTTGTTCACCTACTTCTGGACTGTAGTCTTGTTCACCTACTTCTGGACTGTAGTCTTGTTCACCTACTTCTGGACTGTAGTCTTGTTCACCTACTTCTGGACTGTAATCTTGTTCACCTACTTCTGGACTGTAGTCTTGTTCACCTACTTCTGGACTGTAGTCTTGTTCATCCACTTCTGGACTGTAGTCTTGTTCATCCACTTCTGGACTGTAGTCTTGTTCACCTACTTCTGGACTGTAGTCTTGTTCACCTACTTCTGGACTGTAGTCTTGTTCACCTACTTCTGGACTGTAGTCTTGTTCACCTACTTCTGGACTGTAGTCTTGTTCACCTACTTCTGGACTGTAGTCTTGTTCACCTACTTCTGGACTGTAGTCTTGTTCACCTACTTCTGGACTGTAGTCTTGTTCACCTACTTCTGGACTGTAGTCTTGTTCATCCACTTCTGGACTGTAGTCTTGTTCACCTACTTCTGGACTGTAGTCTTGTTCACCTACTTCTGGACTGTAGTCTTCTTCATCCACTTCTGGACTGTAGTCTTGTTCACCTACTTCTGGACTGTAGTCTTGTTCATCCACTTCTGGACTGTAGTCTTGTTCACCTACTTCTGGACTGTAGTCTTGTTCACCTACTTCTGGACTGTAGTCTTGTTCATCCACTTCTGGACTGTAGTCTTGTTCACCTACTTCTGGACTGTAGTCTTGTTCATCCACTTCTGGACTGTAGTCTTGTTCATCCACTTCTGGACTGTAGTCTTGTTCATCCACTTCTGGACTGTAGTCTTGTTCACCCACTTCTGGACTGTAGTCTTGTTCACCTACTTCTGGACTGTAGTCTTGTTCATCCACTTCTGGACTGTAGTCTTGTTCACCTACTTCTGGACTGTAGTCTTGTTCACCTACTTCTGGACTGTAGTCTTGTTCATCCACTTCTGGACTGTAGTCTTGCTCACCTACTTCTGGACTGTAGTCTTGTTCACCTACTTCTGGACTGTAGTCTTGTTCATCCACTTCTGGACTGTAGTCTTGCTCACCTACTTCTGGACTGTAGTCTTGTTCATCCACTTCTGGACTGTAATCTTGTTCATCCACTTCTGGACTGTAATCTTGTTCACCTACTTCTGGACTGTAGTCTTGTTCATCCACTTCTGGACTGTAGTCTTGTTCACCTACTTCTGGACTGTAGTCTTGTTCACCTACTTCTGGACTGTAGTCTTGTTCATCCACTTCTGGACTGTAGTCTTGTTCATCCACTTCTGGACTGTAATCTTGTTCACCTACTTCTGGACTGTAGTCTTGTTCACCTACTTCTGGACTGTAGTCTTGTTCATCCACTTCTGGACTGTAGTCTTGTTCACCTACTTCTGGACTGTAGTCTTGTTCACCTACTTCTGGACTGTAGTCTTGTTCATCCACTTCTGGACTGTAGTCTTGTTCATCCACTTCTGGACTGTAATCTTGTTCACCTACTTCTGGACTGTAGTCTTGCTCACCTACTTCTGGACTGTAGTCTTGTTCATCCACTTCTGGACTGTAATCTTGTTCACCTACTTCTGGACTGTAGTCTTGTTCACCTACTTCTGGACTGTAGTCTTGTTCATCCACTTCTGGACTGTAGTCTTGTTCATCCACTTCTGGACTGTAGTCTTGTTCACCTACTTCTGGACTGTAGTCTTGTTCACCTACTTCTGGACTGTAGTCTTGTTCACCTACTTCTGGACTGTAGTCTTGTTCACCTACTTCTGGACTGTAGTCTTGTTCACCTACTTCTGGACTGTAATCTTGTTCACCTACTTCTGGACTGTAGTCTTGTTCACCTACTTCTGGACTGTAGTCTTGTTCACCTACTTCTGGACTGTAGTCTTGTTCACCTACTTCTGGACTGTAGTCTTGTTCACCTACTTCTGGACTGTAGTCTTGTTCATCCACTTCTGGACTGTAGTCTTGTTCACCTACTTCTGGACTGTAGTCTTGTTCACCTACTTCTGGACTGTAGTCTTGTTCATCCACTTCTGGACTGTAGTCTTGTTCACCTACTTCTGGACTGTAGTCTTGTTCATCCACTTCTGGACTGTAGTCTTGTTCACCTACTTCTGGACTGTAGTCTTGTTCATCCACTTCTGGACTGTAGTCTTGTTCAACTACTTCTGGACTGTAGTCTTGTTCATCCACTTCTGGACTGTAGTCTTGTTCACCTACTTCTGGACTGTAGTCTTGTTCACCTACTTCTGGACTGTAATCTTGTTCACCTACTTCTGGACTGTAGTCTTGTTCACCTACTTCTGGACTGTAGTCTTGTTCATCCACTTCTGGACTGTAGTCTTGTTCACCTACTTCTGGACTGTAGTCTTGTTCATCCACTTCTGGACTGTAGTCTTGTTCACCTACTTCTGGACTGTAGTCTTGTTCATCCACTTCTGGACTGTAGTCTTGTTCACCTTCTTCTGGACTGTAATCTTGTTCACCTACTTCTGGACTGTAGTCTTGTTCACCTACTTTTGGACTGTAGTCTTGTTCACCTACTTCTGGACTGTAGTCTTGTTCATCCACTTCTGGACTGTAGTCTTGTTCACCCACTTCTGGACTGTAGTCTTGTTCATCCACTTCTGGACTGTAGTCTTGTTCATCCACTTCTGGACTGTAATCTTGTTCACCTACTTCTGGACTGTAGTCTTGTTCATCCACTTCTGGACTGTAGTCTTGTTCACCTACTTCTGGACTGTAGTCTTGTTCACCTACTTCTGGACTGTAATCTTGTTCATCCACTTCTGGACTGTAGTCTTGTTCACCCACTTCTGGACTGTAGTCTTGTTCATCCACTTCTGGACTGTAGTCTTGTTCACCTACTTCTGGACTGTAGTCTTGTTCATCCACTTCTGGACTGTAGTCTTGTTCACCTACTTCTGGACTGTAATCTTGTTCACCTACTTCTGGACTGTAATCTTGTTCACCTTCTTCTGGACTGTAGTCTTGTTCACCTACTTCTGGACTGTAGTCTTGTTCACCTACTTCTGGACTGTAGTCTTGTTCATCCACTTCTGGACTGTAGTCTTGTTCACCCACTTCTGGACTGTAGTCTTGTTCACCTACTTCTGGACTGTAGTCTTGTTCCAGAACCTGAGTTTTGCTTGCACATGCATTCTACAGATCTAGTTTATTTGTTTACAAACTGTTAATTCCTCACCTCTTGTGCAGAGGCACCCTGGCTTCATAGGAAACATCCTAAATTAGTCGACTCTTATGACCTACTTGTTTTGGAGGCAGATAGACTGATCCCTGACTTCACTGAGATGAGCTGCCTTGTATCTTCCCATCCATCCATTAGATGTGCCTACACTTGTACCGTTTGTACTAAACAATGTCAAGTAAAATAGTTTATGCTGTTTATTTTTTTCTCCCAGGCCAGATCCTGGACTTTGGCTCTGGGATTTACCCTGGCTTTTGGCGCCATGTTTGGGAAAACCTGGAGAGTGCATGCCATCTTTACAAATATCAAACTCAACAAGAAGGTCAGAGTTCAGTGACAAAGTTTTATCATTACAACAAATCTTACTATTGGATTGTTTCGTGAATCACACAGATGAAATTCTTCTTCTTTTATTCACTTAAATTAGATTATATATATCTCCTGTGTTGGTTTTCATGGGAAATTTCTTTTTAGTTTACGTGATAACCCATGAAGTTTGGTGTCCGCTCTTTTATTTTTGTATGTGGAGGCCGAATGGTCTGCCTCACAGTTTCATGTTCAGTGCAGTCTAGGAGTGTGTGCGCATGATTAATATTGCATGGTTAAATTCTGGGGTTGTGTAATCGATTGTGCCTTTTTATTAAGTGCAGGCTAATCACCGTTTTTTGCCTGTCCGTGGTCTAACTGTCATCTTGTACTGGAACTGGTGTTTTATCATTTAATTTATGATTCTGTATGCTTATTCTTGCTCTTTATTTTATGTTGTTAAGAGCAATATATTTTCCTTGTATTATAGTAATATTTATTTCGCTATAACTGTTTAGTTTGTTTTAATTATAGCAAAATCTTTGACATATAGTTCAGCAAACATGTTGTTAGCCTAACATACAAATAGTTTTCATGTAAAGTCATATATTTAATTTTGATTCTTGTAATATATTTTTTCATGGATAATAAAACTCATATGTGTGTCAATGTGTGTCCGTGTACGTCCATGTGTGTCCGTGTGCGTCCATGTGTGGCAGGTGATCAAAGACTACAAGTTGATGTTGATCGTTCTGGTGCTGGTACTGCTGGACGTGCTGGTCCTGGTCACTTGGCAAGTGGTCGACCCATTTGACAAGGCGGTCAAGCGGTTATCACCTGAGGTAGGTTTATCACCTGAAGTAGGTTTATCACCTGTGCTAGGTTTATCATCTGTGTAGGTTAATCACCTGAGGTAGGTTTATCACTTCTGTTTGGTTTATCCCCTGTATTAGGTTTATCATCTGTGTAGGTTTATCACCTGAGGTAGTTTTATCACATCTGGTTTATCACCTCTGTTGTTTATCACCTTTACTTGGTTTATCACCTCTACTTGGTTGATCCCTTCTACTTGGTTTATCACCTCTGCTTGTTTTATCACCTGTGATAGGTTTATCACCTGTAGCTGGTTTATCACCTGTTGATCACCTGTTTTAGGTTGATATGAATAATATGGTCAATATGAGACCACCTGTCCAGGCTTTTCACTGTTGCCTTATTTAGGCAAGGAAAGTCTAGAAACTCAAGTCAGTGAATATAATTTCATTCTAGACAGAGTTTCAATACATGACCACCATCCTACCACCAAGTGTTGATGGCACTGCAGGGCTTATACTGACAGACCCCCAGTCTTATCACCAAATGACCATCTCTTGTGACCACATGATCATCATCTCTTCTCAACAGATGACCATCTCTTGTCACCAAATAACCATCTCTTGTCACCAAATGACCATCTCTTGTGACCAGATGACCATCTCTTGTGACCAGATGACCATCTCTTGTGACCAGATGACCATCTCTTGTGACCAGATGACCATCTCTTGTGACCAGATGACCATCTCTTGTCACCAAATAACCATCTCTTGTCACCAAATGACCATCTCTTGTGACCAGATGACCATCTCTTGTCACCAAATAACCATCTCTTGTCACCAAATGACCATCTCTTGTGACCAGATGACCATCTCTTGTCACCAAATAACCATATCTTGTCACCAAATAACCATCTCTTGTCACCAAATGACCATCTCTTGTGACCAGATGACCATCTCTTGTGACCAGATGACCATCTCTTGTGACCAGATGACCATCTCTTGTGACCAGATGACCATCTCTTGTCACCAGATGACCATCTCTTGTCACCAGATGACCATCTCTTGTCACCAAATGACCATCTCTTGTCACTAGATGACCATCTCTTGTGACCAGATGACCATCTCTTGTGACCAGATGACCATCTCTTGTGACCAGATGACCATCTCTTGTCACCAGATGACCATCTCTTGTCACCAAATGACCATCTCTTGTCACCAAATGACCAGCTCTTGTGACCAGATGAAATGGCTTTTGTGGCACTAGAGAAAACATCAGAAGTACTATTAACATCAACAATAGAACCAACAATAGAGCAAAAAACAGAACCAGAAATAGATAAAATAATAGATAAAACATCTGAACCAGCAATAGATCAAACATCTGTATCAACAAAAAAACAAAAACAAAAACATCAGAACCAACAATAGAACAAATATCATAACAAGTAACAGAGAAAACATCAGAACTAACAATAGAGCAGACATCAGAACTAACAATAAAGCAAACATCATAACAGACATCACAAGCAACAATAGGGAAAATAATAGATCAGACATCTGAACCAACAAGAGATCCAACATCATAATTAACAATAGATCAAATGTCAGAACCAACAACAGATCAAACATCAGAACCAACAATACAGCAGACATCAGAAAACCAACAATAGAGAAGACATCGAAACCAACAATATAGCAGACACCAGAATAAACAATAGAGCAGACATCAGAACCAGTAATAGAGCAAACATGAGAAGGAACAATAGAGCAGACATCCGAACCAACAACAGAGCAGATTCCAGAACCAACAATAGATCAGACACCAGAACCAACAATAGGGCAGACATCAGAACTGTCAGAAACTTAGTTTAGTTTACTGCCATGATGGCATAAGGCTCGCTGTGTAGGCCCATGACAGTATCTACTTCTAATCAACAGCATACAGCAGACAGTTTATCTCAAGAGCGGTGGGCAATCTTGATCCTAAAAAAAAAAAAAAAAAAGGCAGTGAGGACTACACAATCGCTCTCACTCCACAGGAGAACATTCTGTTCTACAGATCCTACCTGCTTCCACACAACCCACTCTCATCCCAAGCTCTTTTTTCTGCCACTGGAACAAAATGTGCCAGCATAGATCAAATAAAAAAATACTACAACAACCTTGCTAATAGTATAATGGCAATACCAACACGTGAATCGCTACACAAGATACTAACTCTGTCCAACTCTGTACAACACACAATCTAATGCCCATATCCAGCTTAACACATTAATACATGAGCTACCCCTCACTACAGTGAAATCTATACACGCTATAATCTAAGAGTCAAAACTAGTCACAAGTCTACAGTCACTAGTCCTGGAACCAACTCCCAGATAGTCTCGCTGTTCGTTAGGTTTTGTTTCACTCCAACAGTTCAGTTCATAGTCTTTGCAGTTCTTGTTGCTACTTTAAGTATCGCCACATACTGTTATGGCTTTCTGTTAGTTGTCTGTACCTGTCATTGAGCTATCAGTCAAATCATGGTCACTAAGTACAGATATGGATATTCACTACCATCACCCACTATGTCCCATATCCGCACTAGACTTGACAAGAACCAACAAAAGAGCAGACATCAGAACCAAACACAGAACATATCAGCAAGAAGCAATGTGAGAGCTCAGGCCATGTTCACCATCAGTTCATGTTCCTGCAGGCATTTGGTTGTTCCCTGACCTGGGAGACATGAGTAAACCGAATAACCTGGTTCTTGAGACCACATGACTCCTGGTTCTTGAGACCACATGACTCCTGGTTCTTGTCACAAAATGACTGAACATTGTATTGCAGGTTTATGGAAGAGTTGAGACACCTGTCTAAGTGTCTAAGACATGTGGAACGTCACCTGTGGAGTGTCTGTGTGGTGTTGTGTCTATGCAAGAGCTGAGACACCTGTCTAAGTTTTTAAGACATGTGGAATGTCACCTGTAGTGTGTCTGTAGGTGCTGTGTCTATATAAGAGTTGAGACTCCTGTGAAAGACATGTGAAATCTCATCTGTGACGTGTGTGCTGACATTGCAGGTGTACGCAGATTATGAAATCATCCCCAAGCTGGATTACTGCTCCAGCAGACGCATGGAGATCTGGCTGGGAGCTCTGTACGCCTACAAAGGCCTTCTGCTGGTGAGTAGATCATATATTAGAACCAGCATTAGAGCCAGCATTAGAACCAGCATTAGAGTCAACATTAGAACCAGCATTAGAGCCTAAATTAAAGCCAGCATTAGAACCAACATTAGAACTAATATAAGAGCAATCACTAGAAGTAACAATAAAGGCAACATTAGAATCATCATTAGAGCCATCATTAGAAGCAATATTAAAGGCAACATAAGAAGTAACAATAAAGACAACATTAGAAGTAACACAAAAGGCAACATTAGAAGCAATAATAAAGGCAACATTAGAAGCAGCATTAAAGCCATAATTAAAACTAACATTAGAGACAGCATTAGAAACAACATTAGCACAAACATTAGAACCAACATGAGAATCAACATTCGAACCAGCATTAGAACCAACTTTAGAGCCAACATTAGAATCAACATTATACGCAACATTAGAGCCCAGAATAGATCAAATATTAGAACCAGCATTAAAACCAACATTGGTAGCAACATTGGAGACAATACTAGAGCAAAACAGAGCATGACATCTAGAATGGTGAGAGCTCAGGCCACACTGACCATCGGTCATATTTTTGCAGGCATTTGGCTGTTTCCTGGCGTGGGAGACGAGACACGTGAGTATACCGGCGCTCAACGACTCCAAGTATATAGGGATGTCGGTCTACAACGTTGTCATCATGTGTGTCTGTGGTGCGGCAGTCTCCTTCATCATCGAGGACAGGCCCACAGAGAGCTTCATCATCATCGGTTTATTTATCATCTTCTGCACCACCATCACACTGTGCCTTGTTTTTCTGCCTAAGGTAGCCGTTATTTTGTAACAGTGTTATTGTTTATTATAATTTTGTTGTATATTTGTGTTGTATACTTTGCTATACATTTGTTGTATTTCTTTGCTGTATAGTTACAAGGTCTTTGATTTAAAAAAATTATTTAAAAAACACGGCCATGTTCAGCCACCATCCCCCGAGGAGAGATTTTGGTTATAGTATAATATGCGTTTATTTGAACCATAGGCCTCTTCGTGGCTAAAAACTACTCACCACCAGGTAGCCATGATAAAGACTTTTGCAGTGTTGGATGTGATGACTAAAACTTCCCAAGCGGCAAATGAGTTGCCCATTGGTGGACCCATATGTCACCTTTATGTGAATGTTTATTGTATATTTTTGTTGTGTATCTTTGTTGTATGTCTTTGGTGTATATTTGTGTTGTATATTTTTGTTGTATATTTTGTTGCATATTTCTTGTTGCATACTTGTTGTTTTATATATTAATTTTATATTTTTTTTGCATTTATTTTTGTGTGTGTCCTTTTGTTGTATTTGCATCTATGCATATCTTTATTGTATATCTTTGTTGTATGTTTTTGTTGTACATCTTTATTGTATATTTTTCTGCAAATGTGGCCTTGTTTTATGTTATGTGCATGAAATATGTAAAGGGAAATAATTGACTCAGGGACACAACTAAATAAAATATAACAACATTGTGTTCTGTGACAAATTGTGTGGGGTGATAATGTGTTCCCACATTTTGTTATCTCCAGTAGAATCATTTCAAGTGCTGACACTTTTTTTCCATGTCATGATGACAGCCTGTCAATAGTTTTTTTTCCAAGTCATAATGACAGCCTGTCAATAGTTTTTTTCCAAGTCATAATGACAGCCTGTCAATAGTTTTTTTTCCAAGTCATAATGACAGCCTGTCAATAGTTTTTTTTCCAAATCATAATGACAGCCTGTCAATAGTTTTTTCCATGTCATGATGACAGCTTGTCAAGAATCTTCTCACTTTGTCCTCCTCTGTCAATCTTTCCTTCTATGGTAATCCAGTTTTGTCCTTTTAAGGATGAAATTTGTTGTTATTTGAAGCCCCACCCTCTCTTTTGCCAGGGGCCGCAATATAGGCAAGCCATAAATATGGCCAATTGCCTGAACGCGGTTTCTAGGACCTCTCCACGGCGATCCTCATCCGCATGGTGGCACTTTGTGTCATCGGGTGTTTATCGCTTGTGTGATGTCCTGGTGGGGTAGAAAGTCAGTCAGTCAGTCAGTCAGTTTAATTGCAGCTGTCCTTTATTCACATCAGGTTGCTCTTTGACTGGGCTCATGGACCTCAGAACCATGCAGTTTGGACCCAGGACTGCCACAGGGATCCGCCATCTTGCCTGTGCTCTTTAACGTGTATACGAGCAAGATTGCAAGCCTAGAAGCACCAGGAGTTGGAAGGATACTGACTTTTGCAGATGATATACTTGCATATAGGCAAGGGGAAGAAAGGGAACAAACAGCCCGGTAGCTACAAGTGACAGTAGATTAGGTGACTGAGTGGTGTACAGAAATGAGGGCTGTCGTCCAGCCAGAAAAGGGATCTGTTTTGTGGTGTTCTCTGGACAACAGAATCGTTAAAACATTAGTCCCAAGTCTCACGATAGATGGTAGAGACGTCAACAGAGAGAGCAAACTGAAGTATCTGGGAATCACATTTGACAGGAGCCTGTCATTTAAGCACCATGTGGAGAGTGTTGTGACAAGATGTCAAAAAGGACTTAGTGCACTTAACTCTTTGAGTCCCAGGGGGTTTAGCATCACAGGCCGAGGGGTTAGTAAAGAAAGTAATAAAATCGGCGCATCATGCGTTCATTGGGCTTCTAGGTAGGAACCTGTGAACGTATGATACGTTCCTTGGGTCTCAAAGAGTTAAGACTATGGCTGCAACTGACATAGAACAGAGACTGCTTTTCACATTATATTAGCACCTGATCCTGTCAGTGGTTGATTATGGCCTGGGAATGCTTACCATCTCAAAGAGTCAGATGGACAAACTAGAGCGCTTACAGAACGCAGCTATGTGTGTCATTCTGTGTTGCACTAGAGACACCCCAGTGGTGTGTATGTGATATATCCTTGGTTTGCCGACTGATGCAGGTAAGCACAAGGTGCTGCAGGTGAAGTCATATATCAGGGTAGCTGCAGATGCAGACCACCCTTTGCATGAAGCTCTGGGTGCAGTTAAGGGTCAGTGGCTGATAAGAGGGAAGTCATGGATGGCTCAGGCAGAAGACACAATAAGACAGGTTTGCATCCTTGAGAACATTAGGCGAAGAGAGGAGTGGTTCAAAGTGCTACCTGAACAATCAGACTTGTGTAGAGTCATAATCACACTGAGCCGGGAATGCAGAGACTGGTCGGCAGGTGCCACAGAGATGGAAATTCAGCAATTAATTCAAGATAATGCTGGCTAAGAAGATTTGATCATTTACACAGACGGTTCAGTGTCAAGAGGCAAAAGAAGTGCTTGGGGCTTCTTAGCAAAAGTTAAGGGTCCACGTTTGGTGCAGGAGAGCCTAGCATATGATACCACAACATCCAGCTTAAAAATGGAGGTGGAGGCGGTCACTGCAGCTTTCCGCTGGCTAGAGAACACGACACACACACACATGGTTATTGTAACTGACTCAGAAAGCATGCTGAGGAAGATCAGAACAGGTATGCTTCGTGTGAGGAGTATTGTCTGGATTTTTTCACCAGGGCATGCCAGTGTGTTGGGAAATGAACAGGCGGACAGACTGGCTGGCTCTGCACAACTTGGTGGAATACTGATGCATGATAAGGCAGACGTGGTTAGTGCCTTATGGGAGAGCGTGTACAGTTTGGAGGAGCAGATGGATCACCACAGTCTGGTGAGATTGATGAAGGGGGAGTGACGAGAGGTTCTGGCAGATGCTCGAGGCTCAGAGGTGGGGCAAGGCGGAAGTTTAATTAGAATTCCACCAGCACCATTAGTATCAGAACTCTTCGCTGGCTGCTGAAGATGGGGATGGAGCACTCATGGGAATGCCTCGAGTGCTGTGATGTTGGTTCTGACAGACTGACTGACTTTCTACCCAACCAGGACATAACACAAGCGATAAACTCCAAATGACACAATGTGCCACCATGTGGGTGAGAATCACTGTGGAGAGGTCCCAGAAACCACGTTGAGCCTTTAGGCCATATTTATGACCAGGCTATATTGCGGCCCCTGGTCAGAGCCAAAGTAGGGCTTCAAATAATGAAAAATCTCATCCTAAAAAGGACGGGAAGTATGATGTTGATTCTTGAATCAAATCAAATCAAATGAAATCAACAGCTATTATACTGGCTGCTATGTTTGTGATAAGAAACTGCATATCCATTTGATCACCATTATTAATGTATTAATGGTTATTTTCTCATCTCTATGTGGAAAGAGAGAAGCCCAAGAAGGTAGCAGCAGCTAGAAATATTCAGTTTTGGCAACAGATGTTGACAGCAGAAGACGTTGCCTGAGTGGGGAGAATGGCAACAGAGAAAATGTTGGACGAATGGACAGTGGCAGGGAAACAGATTTTGGATAAGTGGAAAGTGCCAGAGAAGCAAATGTTGGATAAGTGGAAAGTGGCAGGGGAGCAAATGTTGGATGAGAGGACAGTGGCAGGGAAGCAAATGTTGGATGAGAGGACAGTGGCAGGGAAGCAAATGTTGGATGAAAGGACAGTGGCAGGGAAGCAAATGTTGGATGAGGGGACAGTGGCAGGAAAGGAAATGTTGGATGAGGGGACACTGGCAGGGGAGACAATCAACACTTGAATATTTAAAAAGCACTGAGGATAGATGTGTGTCAAGGGAGATAATGACTGGTACCATTTGGCACCAGACTTGATGATCAAGATGAAAATTAGATTCAGGCCATATCTGTAGATGTCTTTCTGTGCTTTAAGCATCAAAACTGGGACGGATATACTAAAAGCCAAAAATTTCACACATATGATTATTTTATGACCTTTGAAAATTGTATATCATTCCAAAAAACACAGAATGCAATTAACAAGTGATTCTCCTGACTTTCTTTTACTCAGATAGTCCAGCTGAAGAGAAATCCCAAGGGCAACGAGCAGAGAGTCAGGGCAACTTTAGGTCACTGCTCTAAACAATCCAAGAAAACAGAATACTCAGTTCACAGGGAGAAGATGAGAGAAACTTTGGAAGAGAATCGACGACTGCGGGGGTTTCTAGAACAGGTGAGAGGTCAGGCAATATTAGCCAGTTTAGACTGTGTGGACTCAAACACACACCAGCTGTCTGTGGAATGTGTGGAAACATACACAAGCTGACTGTGAGATGTGTGGAAACATACACCAGCTGTCTGTGAGATGTGTGGAAACATACACCAGCTGTCTGTGAGATGTGTGGAAACATACACCAGCTGTCTGTGAGATGTTTGGAAACATACACCAGCTGTCTGTGAGATGTGTGGAAGCATACACCAACTGTCTGTGAGATGTGTGGAAACATACACCAGCTGACTGTGAGATGTGTGGAAACATACACCAGCTGTCTGTGAGATGTTTGGAAACATACACCAGCTGTCTGTGAGATGTTTGGAAACATACACCAGCTGTCTGTGAGATGTGTGGAAACATACACCAGCTGTCTGTGAGATGTGTGGAAACATACACCAGCTGTCTGTGAGATGTGTGGAAGCATACACCAACTGTCTGTGAGATGTGTGGAAACATACACCAGCTGACTGTGAGATGTGTGGAAACATACACCAGCTGTCTGTGAGATGTGTGGAAACATACACCAGCTGTCTGTGAGATGTGTGGAAACATACACCAGCTGTCTGTGAGATGTGTGGAAACATACACCAGCTGTCTGTGAGATGTGTGGAAACATACGCTAACTGTCTGTGAGATGTGTGGAAACACACACCAGCTGTCTGTGGGATATGTGGAAACATACACCAGCTGTCTGTTAGATGTGTGGAAACATACACCAGCTGTCTGTGAGATGTGTGGAAACATACACCAGCTGTCTGTGAGATGTGTGGAAACATACACCAGTTGTCTGTTAGATGTGTGGAAACATACACCAGCTGTCTGTGAGATGTGTGGAAACATACACCAGCTGTCTGTGAGATGTGTGGAAACATACACCAGCTGACTGTGAGATGTGTGGAAACATACACCAGCTGTCTGTGAGATGTGTGGAAACATACACCAGCTGTCTGTGAGATGTGTGGAAACATACACCAGCTGTCTGTGAGATGTGTGGAAACATACACCAGCTGTCTGTGAGATGTGTGGAAACATACACCAGTTGTCTGTGAGATGTGTGTAAAAACACACCAGCTGTCTGTGAGATGTGTGGAAACACATACCAGCTGTCTGTGAGATGTGTGGAAACACACACCAGCTGACTGTGAGATGTGTGGAAACATACACCAGCTGTCTGTGGGATGTATGGAAACACACACCAGCTGACTGTGGGATGTGTGGAAACATACACCAACTGTCTGTGAAATGTGTGGAAACATACACCAGCTGTCTGTGAGATGTGTGGAAACATACACCAACTGTCTGTGAGATGTGTGGAAACATACACCAGCTGACTGTGAGATGTGTGGAAACATACACCAACTGTCTGTGAAATGTGTGGAAACATACACCAGCTGACTGTGAGATGTGTGGAAACATACACCAGCTGACTGTGAGATGTGTGGAAACATACACCAACTGTCTGTGAAATGTGTGGAAACATACACCAGCTGACTGTGAGATGTGTGGAAACATACACCAACTGTCTGTGAGATGTGTGGAAACACACACCAGCTGACTGTGAGATGTGTGGAAACATACACCAACTGTCTGTGAAATGTGTGGAAACATACACCAGCTGACTGTGAGATGTGTGGAAACATACACCAGCTGACTGTGAGATGTGTGGAAACATACACCAACTGTCTGTGAGATGTGTGGAAACATACACCAGCTGACTGTGAGATGTGTGGAAACATACACCAACTGTCTGTGAGATGTGTGGAAACATACACCAGCTGACTGTGAGATGTGTGGAAACATACACCAGCTGACTGTGAGATGTGTGGAAACATACACCAACTGTCTGTGAAATGTGTGGAAACATACACCAGCTGACTGTGAGATGTGTGGAAACATACACCAACTGTCTGTGAGATGTGTGGAAACACACACCAGCTGACTGTGAGATGTGTGGAAACATACACCAACTGTCTGTGAAATGTGTGGAAACATACACCAGCTGACTGTGAGATGTGTGGAAACATACACCAGCTGACTGTGAGATGTGTGGAAACATACACCAACTGTCTGTGAAATGTGTGGAAACATACACCAGCTGACTGTGAGATGTGTGGAAACATACACCAGCTGACTGTGAGATGTGTGGAAACATACACCAACTGACTGTGAGATGTGTGGAAACATACACCAGCTGTCAGTGAGATGTGTGGAAACATACACCAGCTGACTGTGAGATGTGTGGAAACACACACCAGCTGTCTGTGAGATGTGTGGAAACATACACCAGCTGACTGTGAGATATGTGGAAACATACACAAGCTGACTGTGAGATGTGTGGAAACATACACAAGCTGACTGTGAGATGTGTGGAAACATACACCAGCTGACTGTGAGATGTGTGGAAACATACACCAACTGTCTGTGAAATGTGTGGAAACATACACCAGCTGACTGTGAGATGTGTGGAAACATACACCAACTGTCTGTGAGATGTGTGGAAACATACACCAGCTGTCTGTGAGATGTGTGGAAACATACACCGACTGTCTGTGAAATGTGTGGAAACATACACCAGCTGACTGTGAGATATGTGGAAACATACACCAGTTGTCTGTGAGATGTGTGGAAACATACACCAGCTGTCTGTGAGATGTGTGGAAACATACACCAGCTGTCTGTTGGATGTGTGGAAACATACACCTGTTGTCTGTTAGATGTGTGGAAACATACACCAGCTGTCTGTGAGATGTGTGGAAACATACACCAGCTGTCTGTGAGATGTGTGGAAACATACACCAGCTGTCTGTGAGATGTGTGGAAACATACACCAGCTGTCTGTGAGATGTGTGTGGAAACATACACCAGCTGTCTGTGAGATGTGTGGAAACATACACCAGCTGTCTGTGAGTTGTGTGGAAACATACACCAGCTGTCTGTGAGATGTGTGGAAACATACACCAGCTGTCTGTTGGATGTGTGGAAACATACACCAGTTGTCTGTGAGATGTGTGGAAACATACACCATCTGTCTGTGAAATGTGTGGAAACATACACCAGCTGTCTGTGAGATGTGTGGAAACATACACCAGCTGTCTGTGAGTTGTGTGGAAACATACACCAGCTGTCTGTGAGATGTGTGGAAACATACACCAGCTGTCTGTGAGATGTGTGGAAACATACACCAGCTGTCTGTGAGATGTGTGGAAACATACACCAGCTGTCTGTGAGATGTGTGGAAACATACACCAGCTGTCTGTGAGATGTGTGGAAACATACACCAGCTGTCTGTGAGATGTGTGGAAACATACACCAGTTGTCTGTGAGATGTGTGGAAACATACACCAGTTGTCTGTGAGATGTGTGGAAACATACACCAGTTGTCTGTGGGATGTGTGGAAACACACACCAGTTGTCTGTGAGATGTGTGGAAACATACACCAGTTGTCTGTGAGATGTGTGGAAACATACACCAGTTGTCTGTTAGATGACTCAACAGTGATCCAATGATGGCTACCAGTCTCTGCTTTGGATGGTGTCCATGTTTTTACTGCATTTACCATTCTTACTCAGATTTCAGCTTACACCTTGCATGAAAGAATGGATGAATGCAGAAATCAGTTAATAAATACATTAAAAAAAAAAAAAAGACCTAATGAAGAACAAATAAATCAAGAATGAACATCACTATACTGCATACAATATCTTACCCACCCTGTCTGCTTCATCAATGAACAGTTTTTGTACTGAAAGTGCCAATGATTGAAAATCTGTCTGTCTTTTTTTCTTGTGCAGTGAGAGTTATCTAGATCTTGAACCCACGACCCTGTTGCATCAGTCTCCCCAGACCAAGTACAAAGACTGTCAGTTCTGCTGCACTGTCTATTGATTTCAGACCAGACTAGGCACACTCTTGTTTCTTCTGCTGCGCTATACACTTATCTCAAAGACTCTTCATCATGTCCACTTTATCATCAAGTAGCTTGACACATGGAGACTGGCAGCAGTCAATCCATCAGCCTGCTTAATGCCTTGCAGACCCATATGTTCTGGGCAGAAAATCCATGACATCTTTTTTATCTAAACCCTCATTTAGTGATACAAGCCACTTCACATACCAGTTGTCACTTTCCAAAGCTGCTCTATGAGTCTGTTACAACATTTCAGGCTGTACTATCTTAGTGTCTTCAAATAGCTGATGTTTCTGCCAACACCTCCATTCTTAGGCTGGATGTAATGTCAATGTCAAGCTATAAATATTTTCTTTTAGCAGACAACAACCTATTTTAGCATATCATAGAAATCAATGGCAAATGGCAGCTTATATTTGGTAATACAGAACAAGATATGTTTAGGCAGACAGTATGCTTTAGATGAAATCAACAAAACATCAAGTGAATAATTCTACACCTGTATCTTGCTGACAGAGAGCCAGTGAGTTGGAGAATCTTCTAGAACAGCTGGGTGATGATGTCATCAAGGATGATGTGGGGTTGAGATCCGCTCTAATTCACAAGACAGTCCTGGATCTCAGAAATACCAAGGAGTCTCCAGGCAAGATGTCCCTCAAATGTGAGTCCCGCAGGGCCTGTTTGTGAAATATGTGATGGTTGCAGGCAGATGGTTGATTATTTTGATAATTGGGGTTGACTGATTGTTTGTTTGTTGGGCTGACTGATTGTTTGTTTGTGGGGCCAACTGATTGTTTGTTTGTAGGGCTGACTGATTGTTTGTTTAGCTGATTGATTGTTTGTTTAGTTGGTTAGATCAGTGGCTCTCAACCTTTCTAATGCGGTGACCCTTTAATACAGTCCCCCATGTTGTGGCAACCTCCAACCATACAATTATGTTAACTGCTACTTCACAACTTTAGTGAATATGTGTTTTCCGATGGTCTTTGGCGACCCCTGTGAAAGGGTTGTTTGACCCACAAAGGGGTTGTTTGACCCACAAAAGGGTTGTTTGACCCACAAAAGGGTTGTTTGACCCACAAAAGGGTTGTTTGACCCACAAAAGGGTTGTTTGACCCACAAAAGGGTTGTTTGACCCACAGGTTGAGAACTACTTGGTGAGCAGGAGGTTAGTTTGCTTGGTTTCTTGGTTATTTGGTTGTCTGACCGCTTGATATAGTTGATCAATTAGATGGTTGGTTGGTTATGTTGCTGACTGTTTGGTTGTGAGTCTTCAAAAACAGTCGGTATAGACTCCTTTGTCTGATTGACTGTGCTCAGGTCAGCCAGATCTTGGCTAGGGCTGACTTCTTTGAGGGTGAGCTTGTTGAAGATGAATGGCTGCAAAGCGATTTTAGAAGTTTATACTGAATAACAGTGTAACAATAATCATGTAATAAACAAATTATGGATATATATATATGTATGTATGTATGTATATATAGCCAGTGAATAACAGCATAACAGCTAGACGAATAAATGCAGTTGTAAAAGTATATAAAAAGTAAAAATTTAAAAACTTAACAGAACAAAATATGGTTGTAAAAGTACATAAGGGTAACATTTTAAAAGTTATACAGAATAAAAAAGATTGTAGAAGTACATGTAGAGTAACAATGTAATAAATAACTAGATGGCACCAAACCAGTTGTAGAAGTACATGTAGAGTAACAGTGTAATAAATAGCTAGATGACACCAAACCAGTTATAGAAGTACACGTAGAGTAACAGTGTAATAAATAACTAGATGGCACCAAACCCGTTGTAGAATTACATGTAGAGTAACAGTGTAATAGATAACTAGATGGCACCAAACTGGTTGTAGAAGTGGACTCAGTGTAACAACAGAAAGCTTAGTGATTGTTTCAGACAGAAAGAAATCATGGGCGTTTTCTGTTTCCAGCATGCAGTGCTTCCGATTATGACTCCAGTTACTCTGAAGGCAGCGGCACTACTTATGTCTACCTGAATGATGAGCCCGCACCTACCACCAGCCTTCTCAAGTACCGGTTCAACAACAGCAAACTCTACTCAGAGGCCATTGAGATGGCTGGTATCAGGTACGTTTGGTTAGTTTATTTGTAGGGTGGCAGATGATTAATTCATCTACACTGGTGATGACAGGTTAATGATTAGTTTACACCTGGAGTTGGTGGGGGGGGGGGAGTGGCAGGTATAGGGTGAGTTTTGTTCATTTCATCATCATCATCCCATAACACAGTGTGCCATTGGGTCACCAGTTTCTGTTGACTGTATAATCAACTACATTAACCTTTATCGTCAGATATGATGATTTTCCAGGTTGCATGCATAAAGCCTGTCCAGTCAGTCAAGTTCTGTATGTAGGTCTTTTTTGGTCTGCCTCTTCTTCCTCTTTCTTTTTATTGAGCCCTTTAGTATTGTTTCTGAGAGGCCCTTGGATCTTAAAACATGTCCACACATTGCATTTTCCATCTTTTCAGTGTAGTTTAATTGTGATTAAATTATGTAAATGACTGTGTAACCATAATAGTTTTGATTTAATGCTCAAAATTGAATGCTTAAAACTGTTAAACTGGAAGGTAACAGTTTTAAGCATTCAATTTAACAGTAGAATTTGTTTCACCGTCATCATTCAGGTTTAACAATAGAAAGACTTCATTGACCCTACCCCCAGCTTCAGAAGATGAGGTTGAAGATGACCCATTTGGTGGCGTCTACCTGGGACCCATTGACTCACCCACTAACCCGGATGCTGTAGATGGGTAAACTTTGTGTACACCTCTATAGCAGATGTTTTTTCCCTCTTCATTTGATTAAGTTTCCTAATTTTGTTTAAATTTTATGCTTTAAAAAATGTCAACCTAATTATTGTACAAAGCAGCAGTTGAAAAAAAAAAAGGCACTAATTCAGTAGAGACATGGACACTGAAATAGCAGACATGGATAGTCAACAAACCAAAACTATCAATGATCTTTCTCTGCTATAAAATCCATTCATCAACAACCTCAGCCCTCTAGTCACCAATGCTCCACGTTCCTTCATCTCACTTATTCATTAAAAACCAAAAACAATTATGTTTTTTTTTTCATGTTCATTTTTTTTTTTCAGTAACTCTTCCTATTTCTATCCCATATTTGTTTACATTTCCATTCTAAGTCATGTTCTTAGTTTATCTGTTGTTAAGATTCCAGAGTTTTATTTGTTGATAAAGACAGGTAAAAATGTTTGGTTGTATTTGTGCACATGTTTTCTGCTCCTGCAACAATCTTCCTTATCTTAGTTTGTGTTGTGTGAAATTACTTGCAGCAGAATGTGCAAGATCCAGACAAGATCAGACATGGTCACCAGGCAGAATGTGAAACATTCAGACAAGATCAGGACAATGTCACCTGGCAGAATGTGAAACATTCAGACAAGATCAGGACAATGTCACCTGGCAGAATGTGCAACATTCAAACAAGATCAGCACATGGCTGCCTGGCAGAATGTGCAACATTCAAACAAGATCAGGATATGGCCGCCTGGCAGAATGTGCAACATTCAAACAAGATCAGGATATGGCCGCCTGGCAGAATGTGCAACATTCAAACAAGATCAGGATATGGCTGCCTGGCAGAATGTGCAACATTCAAACAAGATCAGGATATGGCCGCCTGGCAGAATGCGCAACATTCAAACAAGATCAGGATATGGCCGCCTGGCAGAATGTGCAAAATTCAAACAAGATCAGGATATGGCCGCCTGGCAGAATTTGCAACATTCAAACAAGATCAGGATATGGCCGCCTGGTAGAATGTGCAATATTCAAACAAGATCAGGATATGGCCGCCTGGCAGAATGTGCAACATTCAAACAAGATTGGGACATGGCCGCTTGGCAGAATTTGCAACATTTTAAACAAGATCGGCATATGGCCGCCTGGCACAATGTCCAATGATGACAGTTACTGGAGGTTAAAAACCAAAGCTTTGCTGTGTAGAGGGCACTAGAGGATGATGATGCACAGACAATCAGAAGCCACATCTTGCACCCACATCTTGGATAGCTGTAAAGCATGCTGGGAATGGGTGTGCTGTTGACATGGAAGTCATGTGTTCAAGTTTTGAAGTCATACTAGCGGAAACAACTCATTTAATGCCCCTGTACAACAACTGTCATCATCATGTAGCAGGTGCCCGAAAAAACAAATAAAAAAATTGGTCTCTTGTCAGCTCTCCCATCAGCTCTCCCACCAGCTCTCCCGCCAGCTCTCCCGCCAGCTCTCCCACGAGCTCTCCCTCTTATGTGCTTTCCTATTCAAGGAGTCACTGATATCCTGTGCCCATCTTTGTGTTGGTCGGCTCCTGCATCTCTTTCCTGATACCATGCCTTGTGGTATTATTTTTTTCAATCCGCTATGGCGCTTAATATGACCAAAATATTTCAGCTTCGGATATAAGATGCTGTTTATTAGCCAATCTTCCTTGATGTTCAGATCTGTTAAAATTTCAGTGCTCTTCTCTTCTTTGTCCAGGTATTTTGAGAATCTGTCTACATTTTTGTTCCTATTTTGTACGACCACAAACAAATATTATAACAGAAGCAGTAACAAAATAAAAACAACCAGATCATAGCAAAAGCAACAACAGCAACAAAATCAGACAGTACAGACTCACACTTTCCTCCCAGATACAATGAATGACATTCAAGCAACAGGCTTCATGAAGCCATAACTAGAACAGAGAATAAACAGCAGAAGAAGAAGAATAAGAGCAAGAAAAGAAAACAAAAGGAGAAAGAGGCACACAGTTCCCTGATTTAGAATCAGATACATTTTGAAAAAAGAAAAAAAAAAAAGATTGCAATGTAGACACATTGTTATCAAGTGTATTTATCATCCAGAGTATTTGTTGGCAAGTAAACATACATGGAATCAAGGCAGTGTTTCTGTCTACCCTAGCACCATTTGAAAAAAAAAAAAAAAAAAAAAAAAAAAAAAGAGTTTTTCTGCCTCCAGATTTGCAGTCTATAGGACTAACATCTCAACAACAGCAAAAAGAACCAGATAGCTGCAAATCGAGGAAACTGTTCAATTGTACAGCCACCTAGCACAGTTATAGTGGGGCAACCACACAATGGTGACCAAGTCACCAGTAGTCCAGCGTAGCTGGGTTGTTGTTAGGCTCTAGCATAATGTACAACATTCTTGTACCAGGCCACATGTGGGTATTCTCACCTTTTGACCCTGACTGCGTCAGTGGCATCCATCATTGTAATTATTATTTCATCATAATTGATGAATGTGCTGCCATCTGACTTTTTATGTTGTCTGACGATTGCATGGCCTCACATTTTGACATTGACACATTACACTGGGAGTCAGCAGCATCAACCTGGGGTCAACAGATTCAACTAATCTGTCAAAGTCCTGTCTCCCAGTGTCTCAGCAAGACTGCACTTTTCTAGCCACAACTGCTTCCCTTTTTGTGGGAGATTATATTAATTTTCTCAGTTATCTGACGTGGTTGAATCAGATTTTTTGTATCAACCAATTTATTATGCACTTCATTCAGTGGTCCAGTCAAATCTTGTACAAACAGGTGATTTGATTGGTGCTTCTTTTTTCAACTGATTAACTGCTTGCTTTCATGCATGATCAGACAATTCAATTAGTTCTTGTTTAAGTGCTTATTTCTTTACATTTCTAATTCAATAGTTCAGTAGGATGAAATAATTGAATGACTGTAGTCATTACATCAGAAGATATATCATTCATTTGGTTCTTGTTATCCATCCTAAATTGTTACATTTATTGTTGTTATTATTTCAACTATTATCACCATAATCACAAATGTTAGGATCGTTTGTAGATAGACAGAAAACCAGACAATTGGGTGATGCACACAATATTTAAAACAAAACCAACAATTATCTAACAATATCAACAATTATCCAACAACACCAACAATTATCCAACAACACCAACAATTATCCAACAAAACCAACAATTATCCAACAAAACCAACAATTATCCAACAACATCAACAATTTTCTAAAGACAAACAATAATCCAACAATACCAACAATTATCCAGCAACACCAACAATTATCTAACAATATCAACAATTATCCAACAACACCAATAGTTAGTTAGTCAGTAAATTAGTCAACAGATTATCCTCAATGCACGTCGAACCACTCAGTCCATAAATGCTTGGATCCCCTCCTCAGTAAATCAAGCAGCGGGTAGCGGCTAACAACACAAGTTATGTGTTGGTTTATTATTCTTCTTTGGCTACCCGTGTAGTGTTCTTGTTTGGCCACACCCCATTTAACATGTTGTCCTTGCAATCTGACTATGGTTGCAGATTCACAGTTCTCAGTTGGTTCACGCATACGTCTTAACTCTCTTAGAGCATTCAGTATATCAGACTGGTCTATGGCTTGTCTGGCTTTCACAGTAGCCTTACCTGCAAGCCTGTCAGCTTGCTTTTTTCCTTGTACCCCCACATGTCCTGGCATGAAATGAAACTAATCCTTTGTCAGCCATGAATTTTGTAGAGTGACCACCAACCACTGCCTTTGGACCCAGAACTTCTCTATCTTCCTGAGCATACTCATCGAGTCACGGAGAAAGCATGCCCCAGTGAAAGTCGGTGTCTCTAGCCATGTTACTCTTTAATCACAGTCATGACCTCCATAGTCAGACTACTTGTAGTTACGGTAAAAGCTCCAGAATCTTCCTTCACAACTCTCCCTCCAAACTGAGCTGTGAAAGCCCACAAGCTTTTAACGTGGCGGATTACAGAACCATCTGTGTAAATGACAGCATCACCCTCTAGGGTGTTCTCAAAAATCACGGTTTGAACTTCTGCTTTTACAGCAGCCAGACTCTGCATTTTCTGTCTAGCTGGCTGCAAACAGAAAAAGATGTACAGCACTCTGAAGGCACTTGCACCTACTCCTCATAGGGTTCTACTGTAAAATAATGTCATTGGCTTGGCCTATCCACGATTTACCTCTTTTTAACCTGCTGCCTTTTATCTTCTTGATTTGACTATGTAACTTTTCATTATAATCTGACCTATAATTATCCAGCAACATCAAAGATTCTCCAACAGCATCAACAATTATACTCCCCAGGGATGCAAGTATAGAAGAAAGGTATCCCCTGATGATTGACTCCCCCAGCAACCGAGAACTCCCTCACAGACCAGAGAGTGCCACATCGGGAGATTCTCTCTTGGACAGTTTCAGTGGAGCACCAGGTTTGAGGACCTCATTTGGTAGCACGGATACTAACCCAGGGACTCTTGTATGTAGCATGAGTGTCTGCCTTGTTGCATGATGTCATGTGTCTCTTTGCTCTGATTCTTATCCAATTATTTTGAAAAATCATTGACTTTCTTACTGACACACTTGTCTGTTAGTTTGACAAACAATCATTGACTTTCATACTGACACACTTTTCTGTTAGTTTGACAAAAAATCATTGACTTTCATACTGACACACTTGTCTGATAGTTTGACAAACAATCATTGACATTCATACTGACACAATTGTCTGTTTGACAAACAATCATTGACTTTCATACTGACACACTTGTCTGTTTGACAAACAATCATTGACTTTCATAGTGACACACTTGTCTGCTAGTTTGACAAACAATCATTAAATTTCATACTGACACACTTGTCTGCTAGTTTGAAAAACAATCATTGACTTTCCTACTGACACACTTGTCTGCTAGTTTGACAGTTAATCATTGACTTTCATACTAACACACTTGTCTGCTAGTTTGACAGTTAATCATTGACTTTCATACTGACACACTTGTCTGCTAGTTTGACAGTTAATCATTGACTTTCATACTGACACACTTGTCTGCTAGTTTGACAAACAGATCATTGACTTTCATACTGACACACTTGTCTGCTAGTTTGAAAAACAATCATTGACTTTCATATTGACACACTTGTCTGTTTGGCAAACAGTCATTGACTTTCATACTGACACACTAGTCTGCTATTTTGAAAAACAATCATTGACTTTCATACTGACACACTTGTCTGTTTGACAAACAATCATTGACTTTCATACTGACACACTTGTCTGCTATTTTGAAAAACAATCATTGACTTTCATACTGACACACTTGTCTGTTTGACAAACAATCATTGACTTTTATACTGACACACTTGTCTGTTAGTTTGACAAACAATCATTGACTTTCATGCTGACACACTTGTCTGTTAGTTTGACAAACAGATCATTGACTTTCCTACTGACACTGACACACTTGTCTGTTTGACAAACAATCATAGACTTTTCTACTGACACACTTGTCTGCTAGTTTGAAAAACAATCATTGACTTTTATACTGACACACTTGTCTGCTATTTTGAAAAACAATCATTGACTTTCATACTGACACACTTGTCTGTTTGACAAACAATCATTGACTTTCATACTGACACACTTGTCTGTTAGTTTGACAAACAGATCATTGACTTTCCTACTGACACTGACACACTTGTCTGTTTGACAAACAATTATAGACTTTCCTACTGACACACTTGTCTGCTAGTTTGACAGACACAGCCATTCTGCACCTCAGGTAATTTTGTAATTGTCAGGGGCTCAATTTAACCTCATGTTTGAATGGCGTTTCTGAGAAATGAGTACCTGTGGGGATTCTTATCTGAAATGTGACAGCTTTTGCCACAGAGTGTTTTTTGCTCACTGTGTGGTCCTGGTGGGTTAAACTTCAGTAAGTCAGACAGCCATTCAAGCAGTGCTAAATGAAGTTTTATTTTAAAAATATACGATAGAAACTTAGTAAAGACATGTTTTGGCACACTAAGACATGTTGAACGAATGGTGCTCTATAGTTTTATATAGCAGTCATTACTTCCTGTGTGATGTGATCACTATATTGCCAGCTGCCTTTACATCCCAGGATGTTTTGCAGTACAAATTTTTTACTGGGTCAGTCTGCAAGGCCAGGTTAAGTTTATAAATTTATCTTGGCCAGCATTTTTGGGTAAAGACCAGAGGACTGGCCACTTGATTATCACAGCTCCATAATTAAAATTTTGTAACTGATATATACACACACATGTACATACAGCTGTATGTGTGTGTGTGTGTTTGTGTGTGACATACACATATATACACAACACATATGGTGGTATGTGTATATATAACATATATATATATATATACACACACACACACATATATATAAATAAACACACACAGTTGTGTGTGTGTGTATATATATATATATATATATATATATATATATATATATATATATATATATATATATATATGTATGTATATACAAACACACACTGACACTGAGGATGAGTTTATTGTTTCACTAAACAGAAGAGTGACACTCAATACTTTCTATACAGTCATTTCATCCCAGCCTTGAGCAGTCATCAGTTTATCACTGTCAGTTTTATTTCACTTGTGTGTTTGTACCTGGTGCTGACCTCATTTCAACACCGTAAGGAATATCAGGATACAGCACTGGCCTCAGATTTATTTTTATAGACGCCAACACTTATTGGCTGACATGGTCAGTAGAACACTAGCCAACTTTTTTTTCCAAGACATTTCCTAGCACATTTAGAGCTGGGTCAATATTGGAATAAGGTCATAGAAAAAAATCTCCTTTCATAGCAATCTGAACCTATGACAAATGAGATGGGAGGCAAGCCTGCTAGACGCTGTGCTCATTGCCTCCAGTTTATCATGCTGCTTGTGTAATCACTTACAGAGAACATATTTCATATTTCACTTGCTCTATTTACACGTGTGGTTGAGCTCTGGTATGTCATATTTCAGTTGCTCTATTTACCCGTGTGGTTAGGCTATGGAGTTCCGACAGCCAGCCTATAGATCATGTCGATATTATTAATGCCCTCAGAGAATTGGGAAGGATAGAGGACTTTGGGGGCAGTGAATCCACATCACTCGCCAGAATGGCAGACTTGGGAATTAAGATCACCATAGCAAAGAATGAGACGCACACCAGACGACTTGTTAATCAACATAGAACTGGTACTATTAGCCATCAGACTTTGGGGTTCATACTGAGGGGAGGATCTGAGCACCTATGGCAATGATGATAACCCAACTAACTAACTAACTAACTAATTAAGGAAGTGATTAATTAGGAATATTACCTTCAAATTAGGATTGTGTTTCTCTGAGAGATTAGGAACCAAGAGTTTGTATACAAACAAGTGAGATTTGTCAACAGACGTGCACATAAAACTCAAGTTCTGGATCAATACCAAAGTCCAGATGTGGACGAACAACCAGAACTTTCCATCAGAGTTTACAGCTGATTAATGCTAAGAAGACGAATTGCTGTGTTTTACTGTCAGTCACAATGCAATGACTGAGAAAGGATCTTTTTGACTGTCAGTCACGATGCAGTGACTGAGAAAGGATCCGTTCACCTTATAATATTGTTTAATGATCTAGCAGATATGACAAACATTTCACAGAGAATATTTAATGTTGAATTAAGAATCGACATCATAGTACTCGGGACACTCCCATAAGTGCTCTATCCCCATCTTTAGCAGCAAGCGAAGAGTTCCAATTTCGATCGCACCAATAACCGTCCGATTGTATATCCGTCTCATCATTCCACTAAGTGTTGAACGACGGTCAGTTCCCCTGGCAACTCTGCCTTTCTGTTCAGACCACAATGATCTATCTGTGCCTCCGCAAAGGGCCCTCACAATATCTAGCTGTCAGACATAATTTCTCTACCAGGTGGTGCAGAGCTGGCCAGTCTACCTGCCTGCTGATTTCAAAACACAATGGCATGACCTGGAGATAAAATCCTAAGGATGCTAACTATTCGGGACCTCTTAAGTGATGCTTGCCACTCTGCATAAAGCATGCCTTTCTTCACCTTTTTCAACATGCTCTGTGAGTCAGTTACAATCACATCATGTGTGTACAGCTGATTCTCAATCCAACAGAAGGAAGCAGAGACTGCCTCCACCTCCATTTTCAAACTAGAAGTTGTGATTTCAAATGCAAGGCTTTGCTGCACTAAGCGACGTCCATTCACCTTTGCTATGAACCCCGATGCACTTGGTCTGCCCCTCAACACAGACCCATCTATATAGATAATCACATCACCTGGGCGGGAATTGTCAGAAATAATTTGTGAAACTTCTGATTCTACTGCACCAGCTGGCCAGTCTCTCCACTCACAACCTAAAGTGATTAGAACCTTACAAAGTCTGAAACTTGTTCAAACACCCTGACCCTCTCATCTCCTCACAAAAATCTATTAAACCTAAATAAAAATAGCTGCGTATCCTTTACAGGATGTTGCAGAACCAACCCCAGCATTTATTGGCTGTTATGGTTTGTCTAGGCAAATTTTACATTTAGTATTTTGCCATTGCTTACTGAATGATCAGCTCTCGGTACCACTATCGAAACCAGCGCAAGACAAATCGACTGCAGCAGGGATTGAATCCGGCATTACGAAGCGCGTTCACAATGCCTAAGCCACAGATGCCGACTTATCAAGCCTACACACATGTAAAAACATTTCTCAAGTTTACTTCTATATCCACACAAGGTTAATCCTTGTTTTGTACCTCCGAGACAGTCTGTTTAAAAGTGAGAGGGTCTGTGTCCTGATGCACTACTTATAGACATCATTGTATATACGACTGGTAGAGTCCATGCTTTCATCAGTTGCTTGGAGAACAGTACAATAAATCTGAATGTGAAGTGTGTGACATTAATCTACAAACCAGACAGAACACCCTGCAGATACAAGAATGACTAGCTAGAGTTACAGTCCGTGTTTGGACATGGTGAGAGATGAATGACTACAGAGTCTTAGCTTATAGCAGGGTAAAAGAACAAAATCACATCAGACATAGAGAACTGAATTAAAGCATAAATGGCAGGGAAGACACTGATTAAGCAGCAAGAGTACAGTTTGTCATGAGTTTTTGCTCAAAGGCCTACACACCAGTGGTGATAGAGGACAGATGAAGGTAGCAGAGCCTTCTCGTCATTGGGGATAAGAGGACCAACTAAGCTAAGCCATAAAACTATATAAGAAGAGGATAAATTAATTCCAGCTACTGTAAGATTAGCAAAGAAAAAGATGTTTGTTTATATTTGTAATCAATGACCATTAATTTCAGACTGAGAGAAAAAGCACGCAAAATTCCAATGGCTTGTTTCCGTGTTTGCATGCTGTGGCGGTATGTTTGTGTTGGTCGTCTACTAACTCACTAACTTTTCTCAATCTGTGTTTTGTTATTATA